GAGGCACTGAGCTCAAACCTAAGTACTGCCAAAAAAAGAAATACAAATTAGTGTGTAGAAAAAAATGACATGTTTTTGTTCAAATAATGTTTTCAATGATTAAAAATTACAGAAAGCTAATACTGAAACTACAAAGGAATCCCTCAAAGGCTCCCAGTGGATACTGGAAATCACGGTGTTGAAGACTTTGCAAAACATAGAATCATCCCCTGGACACTTTGAATTATCTTCAGATTACCCACAATACCAAATACACTACAAGTGTGAAGTAGATAATTGCTATACTCTACAGTACCCTGTACGCACCATTGTACTATGTACTGCACCTTCACATAGTAACAAAGTTGGGCTGTCCTTCCATGCTGTATGTCCTGGTGCTTCTTTGCATTCCCAGTCTTGTGCTTTGAAACCAGTATCTAGGAAAATAAAGGTTTCCTTGAACATGGCTTTGTGACACCATGACCAGCTATCTGGTCCCTGAGATGGCAGAATGGCCGAGGGGTGGGTAGCGTATACAGTATGAATGCCCTGAACAGAGGTGATTCAGAGCCTGGGCAGGATGGAGTGGGAAGGCATGAAGTTACATCACACTGCTCAGCATAGAACACAATTTAAATCTTGAAGGTTGCTCATTTTTGCACTACTCCATTAGTGTTTACAGATCACATTAGCGCACAAGTGAATGAAACTGAGACAGGTGAACTGGGTGAGGGGACTGCTGTACACTAACGGCTTGTGCGCCAGTGACAATAACTCAATAGACAAATGGGCAAAATGGCACTGGCAATGTGAATAAATGTCAGCAAGTACACCAAGAGATCCTCAAGCCTATCAGTAACCAGAAAAATGAAATTTAGACAGCAATGAAATACCACTTTGAAGCTCCTAAATGAATCAAAACATGCTATACGCACTGCCAGGGAGCTGGGAATAAAAAGATTCTTGTACAGAGCACAGAGCCAGCTCAACCACTTTAGGGAGAAATCACCCAGACATTTCAACAAATCAGCATAACACTGTCTTCCAACCCCAGAATTCTGACCTTGTATATTTATACCCAAGAGAACATGGTACATAAGGGGTAGAAGATTCACAGCAGGATTTTTCATGCTGGGGGGTGTTAAAATGACTTGAGTGACCATCCTGGTAAAAGACCATGGGTAAAATACAATTGTGTAAGCAAGCAAAAGTGATCCAGGGGACACACATTTCTTAATTAGCCACTGACCTTGGTTAGTGTATATTTTATTGAGGTGTTGGGGTCTCTGTTCATCCAAGACATTGGTCTGTAGATCATACTTCCTATCTAAGGAAAGTGTGGAAAACTTGCTCTGCCTCTCACCTCCCTGGCCTTACACTCCTTTTTTCTAATGTCCTTCCAGCCCAGGCCTAGTGATCTACAACGAAGCCTCTTTCCCTTGATTGTCTTAATATTATTAGGGCAGATGCTGATGCTGAAATGCTTTGGCATTGAAGGACTCATGCAGAGATCCCACGCCTGCCTGAGAACTCAAATGCCCATGCACTACAGATTTCACCCTGAGACACTCTGCACCCTTCATTGGGATGCTCATTATAAGTGATTCTCCAATGACCACAATCCTAGGCCTGGGTAAGATCAGCATGGTCTTTCAGCTTCCTTGCTTTCCAAAATTCCCATCCTCTTTCAACCCATCTGACTTAGCATCTTTGAATTTTGAAATATTTAAGGTAATATATATGTATATATATATATATATATATATATATTCCTGTAACAAGCCAAGCAGACCATTTCCTTCCTCAGTAACCCAAAGGGTTTACCCACTTTTCTGGTACCGAATAAAAACACAACAATAACAAAAACAAAAACAAAATAAAATGGGCAGTCTCCATGAAACCAGACAGACTGAATCCCTGGCTTCAAGACACAAGTGACCCCTGTGGCTGACCTTCTGGGAAAGGATCTTTAATGAGCCTATTCAATCAGTTGGCTTATAAATCCGAAATCCTCGCTCCCCCAGTGGGGAGCCAGTGACCAGAGATCAGTCAGTGACATGCAAACCCAAGGCAACCAGCAAAACAGCTAATCTTTCTGGAAATGAAGCAAAAACACAAAGATCCTGATGTCATAGGTGGGACATGATAGGGACCTAGGAAAGTTGTCTCTTATACTCAAAATAAATATTCTGAGAGCAAATCATTTTATCCAAAGCTCCCCTCAACACACACACACACACACACACACACACACACACACACACACACACACACATGTCTCAGCCTTTTTTCTTGGTGGTCCTTATATTTGAGTCTGGTGCTCATCCTTGTCAGGCAAATGCTCTACAACTTAAATATCCATCTAGTCTTCAATAGCCAATTTTTAACATCTGATTTGAGAGTCATGACTGTACTCCAATCCATTTCCTCCCTCCCTCTCTCCCCTGCTGCTCCAGCATGAGTTTGGGGTGTCATCTTTTGTCACCTATAAGAATTTAATATCCACCTAAAGCTGCAATATTCATCCAATCAATGTGCTTGCATCTCCATCTCACTACCCACTCCAATCCACTTTCCATTCACAACCACAGTGGCTTTTCCTAGCCTTCTCGTCTGATGACATCATGATTTTGCTTTCAGTCCTTCAGTGGAGGCCCAGCTCTAGAGGAAAACAGTCTACCTTGATGGCTTGCATGACCTACAAGACATTATGTCCACTTCCTTCACCAGAAGGTGCTCAGCCTTCTCCTTCTCCATGATGCTCCCATCTATAAGAGAAAGAGTGCCTTAGCAAAATACCTGAACCTGAACCACCTTCACTCTCCGCCCAACACTTACAAGGCTTTGCTGCCATTCTTTGCTGCCTGTGTCTTCAAACGTAATAGAGGTCTTTGTAGGAACACATACATAGTAAGTGCATAAAAGAAACCATAAAAGAGGCAATTGAATTCAAGTTAGTGTCACTTGTGGGAAGGCTAAAGAAAGAACCATGAGGAACTGAAAATTTAGGAAAGAAAAAATAGGTTCATGAGTCCAAAACAAGATAACTAAATATCACAATGACCAGGGCAGGGTGGATGTACACGTGAGTGTCAGAGAGAGCACTGTCATCCAAACTAGAAAATGAACTCAATTCCAAAGCATTTTCAAATGTGTCTCATGGGATCCGAAAAGCCAGCCAGAAGAGCCTGTATTCAAGAGCCAAGTATTCAAGGAAGGAGCACTGGGTCCGTGGCATTGGCTGCAACCAAGTAAGAATGTGCCATCTGGCAGCGTGAACACATCAGAGGGGACAGTAGAAACCCCACAGATGAGGCCGGTGACCTTATGATTGATAAAATGTCATGGTAATTTTTCCATCCTTACACCTGGAACAACACGGGACAGTTTCCTGTCCTTGCCCCACCCCACAACCGCAGTCTCAGAAGCATTGTCTCCAATTAAAATAATCTTTAAATTTCAGAGTCCATTTGCTATTCCCTCTTATCTTACAGCTCCTATTACAAAACACTTTATTTTTGATCAGTTCACCTTTCTTTGTCTTTACCCTTGTCATTATGACTTACTCATTCAAAATGAGTAATGGTCAGGCCCTACTAAGAAAGGAAGAGAATTCACATCCAGTCCACTGAGAGTCTACTTGACTTTTATTACAGTGGAATCCTGAATGTGTTTGGGGAGTGTTACAAAAACCTCTGTTTTCTCTAAGTAAGTTGTTGTAACTCTAAGGAGATGTGTGTGTATGTGTGTGTGTGTGTGTGTGTGTGTGTGTGTGCGTGTGTGTGTGTATGCATGCATGCATGTACTTGAGACTGTTTAGGCATTCTTTGAAGTGGTTAGAGGGACACACAGAAACATCCTCTCTGGCTTGGCCTTCCAGAATAACAGTACACAGTGCTTCCCAAAACAATGAGACAAATCAGGTTCTGGAATGACAGACACACAGACACTGACACTGACAACACACACGCCAAGTGGCACGAGAAACAGAGACCAAAGTGACAGGTTTAGGGACTCCCACACACAATACTAGAAAGAACAGAAAGGGAGCATACACTCGTTCCTCTTAAAATGAACTCAGGAACACAAAAGCAAAACAGGTTATCTAGAGGAAGGACAGGGATATATGTTGTGTCTGAGATGCCCAATGGGTGTGTGTGGGGGGGGGGGGGCGAGACAGACAGAGACAGACCGACAGAGAGAGAGAGTCAGAGAATAAGAAGTGCTGAGAGAAAGACAGAAATAAGGAGACAGAGACAGACAGAGAGAAAGCGTTCAGGGAGACAGAGGGGTGCTGAGAGCTAGAGGTGTGGAGAGACAGAGGCAGAGATAGGGCCGTTGAGTGACAGAGAGGAGAGAGAGGAAAAAGAGGAGAGAAAAGGAGAAGGAGAGAGAGGGGGGAAGGGAGGAGAGGGGGGGTCCCCTGATTTATAGGGGGCCAGGTGAACACCCCACATCGGAGAGGAGAAACGAACTTTTCAGGTCTCCTAATAGAAACCGAACTCGCCGTGAAGAAGGACGCGCACCTCCGGCCGCGGCGGGCGCGCAGGGCCGGGCAGGTGCAGCGCGGGGAGGGGGCGCAGGCCGGCCCCGGCCCGGGCTGGGGGGGATCCCCGAGGCCGGTCGCGGGGGCTCAGAACTTTCCTGGGGCGCACCCAGCCCGGCTTTGGCCCGTGGGATCCCCGTGGCTGGAGCCCCGTCGGGTGCCGCCCGCCGGCCGGCCGAGCGGGGACTCGATCCCGGCACCTTCCCGGGCGCGGAGCGCGGCCTGCGGTGCGCCCGGCCGCGGCCCGGCCCGGCCCTCCCCGGCTGGGCCTCGGCCCTCCCCCGGGAAGGTGTGTCCCTGTTTCCTCACCTGAAACTTCCTCGGGAGCCGCGCTCCCTCCCTCCGTCGGGCGGCAGGGGCGGGCCGCGGGTGGGGCGCGCGGCGGCCCGGGGCCGGGCCTGGCTGGGGAGCGCGGCCGGCGGGCGCGCGCCAGGGGGGGCACCGGACCCGGACCCGGACCCGGACCTGGAGCGGACGCCGGGGCCCAGGCAGCATGTGACACCGACCAGGTGGGCGCGGGGGCCGCCCGGGCCACCTCGGAGCCCGGCGGAGGTGAGGCCGGGACAGGAAGGAAGGGGAAAGTAGGCCTCCCCCGGGGACCGGCCTCAGCCAGGTCCCAGGGCGCAGGCTCGGGAAAGGAGGGGCCGGGCTGCGGGGCCGGGCGAGGGGCCGCGGGGCTGGGGACCCCGCCGAGGAAGAGGAGGAGGGGACCTGGAAGGGAGGGTTTGCGTCTGGAGGGGGTGGTGGGGAATGGGGCTCTTCCAACTTAGATCCCCGCCTTGGAAATGGGCGCTGCGCCCCATCATGGTTCCCAGAACCTAAAGAAAATAAGGAATCGGAATCGGGGGCGGGGGGCTCTTTTTCCAGCCCTGAACCCCGCTGGGGGCGAATCCCTCTAGCCCGAGGAATAACTAAGACTCACTCCGCACCTGGAGTCCTCACCTGGAGTTGGAATTGCCGTCTTCCTCTTTCCTTGCTTGCTTTCTTTTTTGCTTTTTCTGTACCTGGGCCCGGCCCTTCCTTTGCATCTTACCTAGCCTAGACGTGCCCGTCTATGTAAACACCCCGCTCTCCCCCGTGAGCAGAGGCCAGGAACCCCCAAAACAGCCACTCCTGTTCCCGTTGCCCACCTCTTCCCCATTTGCCTGTATCTGGCCAGCCTCACATTAGTCACAGCCTAGTCACAACGTTGCATTCTTCACTTAGGGACAAGATGTACAAAGGGGAGCTATTTAGAGCTGGAGGCAGAGATGAGGGTAGAAGGAAACACTCTCGGAGCCCTAATTCTCAGCATGATTTATAAGAAAGATGGGAGGTAGTGGTGATGTTCCTGTTTAGATCTCAGTCCCCTCCCTCCCTTCCTGGAACTTGGATTTCCAGGACAGTCTTGGCCTTCTGTCTACCTAGAAGTGAACTCTGGCCGGTGCTGTTGTCAGACAGAGGAGGGGGAAGGGCAGGCCCCACACACCAGGGAGAGAAGGTGGTTTTCCTTTGAGTTTCCTTCTTCCTTTGCTCTCCTACTGCACTCCTGCTCTGGTATCCTTGGCCTCTGCCCAAACCCCAGTCCCCAGCCAAACAGCCCCCAACATGTCCTCTTCCTGGACTTCCTGGTTGATCTACATCTGGAATATGAAGAGGCTCCTAGGCTAGGCCCCAGTGGAATAGGTACCAGTTATGTGTGGGTCTGACATAGAAGCCACAGCCGTGGAAAGGGCTGGGATGGAGGACTGGGAAGGGGGCAGGGGGTGTTCATTCCCAGTGAGAGTGTGTGTGGAGGAATGGAAGACTCGAGGAGCTGTCTAACTGGAAAAGAGCAAACCGGGAGGAATGTGAAGGAATCCCTCCATTCAGAGAAATACAGCAAGTCAGATATAGTCAAGAGTTTCCTCAGGTTTGTGGCTGATTCTAACCGTGATGTGTTTGTGGTTGTCTGTGGCCATGTGATGCCTCGTCTGTGGGAAAGACAAGAAGATGTCATTAGTGGTGTCTGGACTGGTCAGTCGCTGTGTGGTGCAGGCTTACTCCGGGGCTGTTTGGTTGAGTAGCCAAGGTGTTACTTGCCAGTGGTGTGACACACAGATGACCTTCAGCATCTGGTATAGACAGGCTGAGTTGCTGACGGTGTCTGTGAAAGGAACAGAAGCTGGTCACACTGAGGTGTCTGCAAGGTGGACCAGAACAAGGTGTCCCTTTCTGTGAAGGACACAAACAGGCCACTCATACTCATCTTGCGGATGGCACCGGGGCGACGGGTAGTTTGTGGGTGATCAGCATCGCCACGCATCATGATTTTAGACCATGTGGTTGATGAGGCAGTAGATGATACAATGTTTTCAGACATTAGGGAATAGATAAAAAATGTGGATCTTCGCTGGGCTGTACAATGGAGTAGACACAGGTCTTAGCAATCAGTGGTCCAGAAAACCAACATGATGTGGATCGCCTTGTTGTATTGGGGTGGTAGTTTCCAACAGTTAATAAAGTTAGACGTGGTGATTTCCTTCTCTAAATCAAAATGAGAAGGTCTTTTTTTTGGCTGGGGGTAAAAGACATTTTCCTAATTTAGACAGAAGTAAAGATTGTACAGGGTAAACTCTGAAGTATTGCGATCTCAAGAGTATTTCCGTGATTTGTGTTTCTAAGTCAAGAGTACTAGAAATGGGCTTTTCTAGAAAATTCAAGAAGCAAGGTTCTCATAAGCATATAAGTCAGTTCAAAGACTAAGTTGCATGAGTGGGGATGGGTGTGTCTTCGAGATACTATTTTATGCCTGATGACTTGAAATGGACACTATCTATGGTGTTTGATTTGAAGGGAGACAGCAGGCTGTGCTACACACAGTTAAGGGATGACTTGAGACTGTCTTGTAAGAAGCCATAGGTTGCTGGGGTTGTACAGATGTAAAAATGCCTGAGGTCTGGAGGAAGTCTGCCATCACTAAGATACCTCACTCTGTCTCTGCCTGTGCTCAGAACTGTAGCCATTACTCACCTCTGGAGAAGAGGATGTTTATACTCTAACGGAATGGGCTGTGCAAAAAAAAAAAAATTCCTCTCTAATTCCTTTAGTGAGTAAGACTGTGCTTTACAGATTTCCTGTCACATTGTAGCTGTGTCATGCCTAAATGCAGTAGGATGACTACTAGGTCAGGATCAAGCCCAGAGTACAGAGTGTGTTCTCTCTTTAGGGAGCCTGGTAGGGACACAGGTGACCACTGATATTTCCAAGTGTGTACAGACTGTAGACACTTGGACACAGTGTGAGTAGAGCTTGTAGAGGCAGACACAGACACTGTCTGTACATCAGAACTAACTGTATCTGAGTAGCACATGGTATGTAAAGATAAACAATGATGTTGGAGGATAATCCTGGAAAAATACAGGCTCTGCTGAGGGCAGAGGACAGAGTTCTGGAGAAGGCCTTGCTGGGCAGGTAGGAGGCAAGTTTCAGAAGGTATCTAGTGAGCATATGGGTTCTTTCACGTGTTGTTGAGATGTGTTAACTTGAATCAGATATTATTATTATTATTTTGTATTTAAGGACAAGATGAGCAAATCACACTGTCAGTTGACTGGCAAGGGTATAAAAGTCCTTCCACTTGAGTATACTTGTTGGACTTACCTCTTTGTCCCATATAGATGGTATCTGTGTCTGTAGGGTGGTGGAGAACTTGTCACATACTACATCTGTAGCGTGGCCCAGGACCTGCCTGTGTGGTTAGGTCAGGCTCCATTGCACACAGACTGTAAAGATGGCTCACTCATGTGTGTGTGTGTGTGTGTGTGTGTGTGTGTGTGTGTGTTGTGTATATGCATGCGCAGTGGCTCAGGAGCATTCTGGTGGGCATCCACTATAAAACCAGAGCAGACAAGGTGCAGGGCTGGGGGAAGCATGGAGAAGGCCAGGATCTATCTTCTAGCTAGACTTCTGGGTACCTACAACAGACTTACGTCAAGGGACTTTGATCCAGGCTCCCCGGTACCATTTGCATAGGGGATCTGAGCAAATGTCTGAGGCCTTTGACATCTCATTTCTTCATTTGCAAACTGAGCAAAGTTTTCTTTGTCACCAGTGTTTCCTCTACCTTATAAAATGTTTCCTCTACCTTATACTTATTCTTTCTTAGGTCAATCGTATCTACATTTAAATGACCACTACAGGTAGCAGTGAACTTTTAAATGTTATTTAATTTCATTAGAAAATACTTTATCTCCCCTTTAAAGATCCTACTCTTCAAAGATCCTTATCTTTAAAAAGGCTGGGGGAGGTGGCTCACACCTGCCATCCTAGCTTCTTAGGAAGAAGAGATCAGGAGGATCCCAGTTCAAGGCCAGCCTGGGCAGAATTTAGTGAGACTCAACATCGCAAGCCACGCAGGGTACACAACTGTAATCCCAGCCCTATGGGAGGCAGAAGTCAGAAGGTCAAGACCTGAGGCTGGCCTAGGTGAACGACTAAAACAAATGGGGCTGGTGGTGTGGCTAACATGGTAGAGCACCTGCCTAGCAAGTGTGAGGCCCTAAATTCAAACCCCAAGGCTAGAAGTAGAGCTGTGGCTTAATGGTACCAGCTTTAAGGAAAAAAGCTAGGGGACAGCTCCCAGGCCCTGAGTTCTAGCCTTAGGATTCCCTCAGTCTCTCTCTCTGTCACACGCACATATGTGTGTACATGTATGTATGTATGCACACATTTATATATAATTTTATCCAAGGTAAAATGATTCCTACAATTGTTTTAAATCTAGAAAAGAATAAAAAGAAGACAACTAAAAATTGAACCACACTCTTAACGTGTGTATGTGAATGTATATATATATATGTATATATATATATATATATATACACACACATTTATATATAACTTTATACAAGATAAAATGTTCCCTACAATTATTTTAAAACTAGCAAAGAGTAAAAAAAAAAGATGCAACTAAAAATTGAACCACACTCTTAACTTGTATGTGTGTGTGTGTGTTTGAGAGAGAAAGAGAGAAAGGGGGAGGGAGAGAGAGAGAGAGAATATACCAGTACTGGAGCTTGAAGTCAGGGCCTGGACACTGTTCCTAAGCTTTTTTGTTCAAGTCTGGCACTCTTTTATCACTTGAGCCATAGCTTTGCTTCCAGGTTGTTGCGGGTTACTTGGAGATGAGTCTCATGGACTTCCCTGCTAGGGCTGGCTTTGAATGAACCTTGATCCTCAGTTCTTAGCCTTGTGAGTAGCCACCAGCTACTCAATAGTCTACTTTCCTTCAATCATGTAATGCATCTTTGCTGAGGAACAACTAAGCTTCAGACAGTGTCTGAGTCCTCATAGCACAGCCCTGGGAGCTGAGAGCTCCTGGTAGAGGCAACGGGAGGAGATGGCAGGAGATGTGGGCATAAACCTGGGCTGATGATTTGCATTTCATCAAGTCAGTCTGAGGCTACTGAAGAATTGAAACTGAAGTGATGCTTTGAAGCTCGCTTGGGTCATGCATGGAGAGTGAGCTGGAATGGAGCAAGCTGTGTGGAAATCCACACCCAGGCTGAGCCTACCACTGTGGGCTGGAAAAGGATGGAACACAATCTACCTTCTTCTACCTTCTACCACAAAAGTGACAAACAGTGGAATACTTCATGGAATATTTAGGATGTAAATCACTAGGACTTGGTAATTGATAAGGAAATGGAAACCCTGGGGCCAGAAGGGAAAGAAGCATTTTATTTTCTATGTAGAAAATGCTTAGACAGCACATAATATGGGCCGAGTGCTGTGCCAGTTGAATAAGACACCTCACATAACCTGTCATGGGTAGGTTTAAATAGACAAGAAGTGAAAATGCATGAAAATGCATGCGTAATCACATAATGATCGTTGTATAAATGCTACAAAGGGGAAGTGAAGGGAGATGCAATTTGCCATTTTTTTTTGTGGGGGGGAGTAGGTTGTAGGGCTTGATCTCAGGGTCTGGGCGCTGTCCCTGAGCTCTTTTGCTCAAGGCTAGTGCTCTTCCACTTTGAGCCACAGCTCCACTTCTGGTTTTCTGGTGATCAATTGGAGATAAGAGTCTCATGGGCACTTTTTTGAAAGATAAGTCTATTCTAACTCAGATGAAGGATCAGAAATCTAAAACGGGTGGCAGGAAAATGTCATTACATCAGTAAGAAGAAAGTATTCTTAATGTCAGTAATGTTAAATACTGGCAACAGCCACTCAGATTTAAGGATCCACAGAGTCTTCTTTAGAATTACTAGACAATTAGTAGACAATTTTGCCTATTGAAGCAAAGAGGAGGTAGGTGGGATGTCAGGATGGGAAGACAGTGGAAAGGCACAACAAGATTTGAAAGATGAGAAAAACATAAACTGATGGAGTGGTCCAGCAGAGAAATTAAAGTTGTTAGAGAAATGCACGAACCATAGCATAAAACCCCTAAAGTGACGTGCTAAGGGGGAAAGAGTTAAATGGAACTTGAAAAATGAGGGAAGGCAAAGGGTGGAAAATGTGGGTGGTTTGTAAGAAATTTAAGCAAATCCTTGCTGATGATTTCTAAAATCTTCTCCATGTTGGATATGGGGTGTTCTACTGGAAATGGGAAGAGAAGCAGGAAAGCCAGGATCTTGGGAAGTAATGGGAAGTTTCCATAGTGTCAGAGAAAGGAGAAGAGTCAGATAATGAAGGTAACACAGTTTATGGGCTATCTTACCTAGAATAAGTCTAGTTGTCACTGCCCTTTATAACAGCTGTTATCAAATCACTCATTAGTAACAAGGCTTTGCTAGATACTACAAAAAAAATCCCAATCGAGTCAAATATAGACCCTGTGTAAAGGAGTTGAAACAGCTATCTATAGTTGTGTTTCATGTTGGCTGTAATTGTCTGACCTATTTTACTCCCGTGTCCATGGTGTAGAAGGAAGGTGCCATTCTGCTTCTACTTCTCTGGGCTGTTAAAGCAAGGGTGTGTCACACACCGTCTGTGAGTAATGTCAGGCTGAGTCATTCAGTGTCCAGAGAGTCGACCGGGAGAAGCAGATGTTGACATAATAGAATCTGGAGGGTAAGGACCGCTGGGAATTCTCAGCACTCTTACCTGTGGTCTTACGCTCTGATGGAATTGCTTATTATCTGTTTCCCCTACAAGGCTACAAGCTCCACGAAGACATGTTTGGTCTCATTTGTGACCAATCACCCTCCACTTAAAAGGGTCATTAGGTAAATGTGTGCTAATGAATAACTAAATGAGAAGTTTATATTGCTTGTTTTGTTGTACCTTTTTGTGTCAAGAATACCAAATGGTCTCTCCTGTGTAGTCACTAAAAGCAGAGCAGACATTAGAAATCTTTGTCTTGTATTCCTCCTTAGGATTCAGCCCTGATGGAGGCTGAGGAGCCTCCACATGGAGCCTCTATTCCCATCCATTCTCTAGAAGAATCTAGAATTATCCCTGAAGCTGTCATGAGGAGCAGTCAGATGCCAGTCTTGACTCCTGAAGGTCACAAAGGTCAGGATCCATCTTCCAAATGGACAGAGGGCCGCAGGTGCTTGGTGAGCCAGCTGGGAGAGTTAAGAGACGTGAATGACTGCGTTGCTGAGCGTAAACCCTCTTTTCCTGAGGAAGGCTCTGCAGAGGTGGAGGCTGAAGAGGAAATCCCTGTGGCTGAGGACCGTGACATTCTGGAGCAGTCAGAGGAGGCAGTACCCCAGAGTCTGGAAGACAGCGGAGTGAAGACAAGAGCTCACTCGGGGCTCTGGGCCCGCTCTGTCCAGTGTGAATGGCCAGACATGGTCTCAGAAGCCAGAGAACCGGGCAGCAGAGTGGAGCTGGAATTGAAGCCAGAACTCTCTTCTTTGACGTTAGGAACTGGACAAGGAGACAGAGATGCAGACACCTCTTCTCACACTATAGTTTGGCCTCTCTCCGAAAAGCAACTTGCAGAGACCAACCAGACCTGCGTCTTTGGCAGTGGACCTGCTGTGCAGTTGAAGGAGGTACGGAAGAGTCAGGAGCAAGAAGGGCTTCTCAGTCCACAGGAGGCCCATGGGCTGGAGACACAGGATGGTCAGCAAGGAGGACATCAGGGGCAAGGATTGCTGGGAGAGAATCTTTGTTCTAATGGACTTTGGAGGGATCAGGAACAGATGGTAGAGCAGGTTAATGGGAAAGAGGGAGACCAGCAGGGACACCAGGAAGGGAGGAGAGGAGGACACGGAGGAAGAGCTGGGCTCAGTGAGGAATTGGAAGATCTCAATTATGGTGGGTGTGATGGGGAGGTTAAAGAGAGGATTCAGGGTCAGGAAAACCCAGAAGAAGAAGAAGAAAAAGGGAAGAGGACATTGAGGGGAGAAGAAGCGAGGAGGGTAGACTTCCAGTGTGCAGAGAATCAAAGATTAGTTTGGAAAAGGAAGGAAATAACAAGAGAGCAAGGTGATCAGGGTCTCCTGGGCAAAGAGGAGCAGCAGGAAGGGGCGGGATCAAGTGAGGAGGAGCCAGAGAGTGAGGACGGGGGTGGGCAGGAAGCAATGGAAGAAGATAGAAGCCCAGAAGAGAAGGAGGAGCAGGATAGTCCTTCCCGAGCGACTCCAGTAACGCCTGAGGCCTTCTCTTCGGGTGGCTTCTCTCCAGACACTCCTTGTCCCTTGTCTCAGATTCTTGGTACCCTGGCAGATCTAAGGCTTGGGGAGCTGTCTCCCAGAGCTCTGACTCCTATACCGGAGACACTAGCCCATCATCCCGACCCCATGTCTCTGCCTGGCTCTTTTGCTCCTGGGGGGTCACTGGACAATCGAATAGCTCACGATGGCTCTGAAGGAGCTGAGCTGAAGAAGGGGGCAATGTCTAGCCAGAGGACTGAGCTGGCTCCTGCTGACATATCTATCCCAGGAGGGACCCCATGCTCAGCTCCCGTAAGACCTGCTGCAGTCTCTGCCGTGTCACCTTCCGGATCTCCAGCTGCCATTCCCAAGGAGACCCCCACGGCCTCTCTCCTGACCCACAGCCCGTCTGCCCAAGCGTCCTCCGAGACTCCTCTGGCTGCCCTCCGTGCCCAGCCCGCGGCAGACCCCCATGCTGCTTCCCATGCGGTCAGCTGGTGTGGCCCCCCGGCCACCTGCCCTGGGACTATCCAACACCAAAGGAGCAACTCTTTCCCTGGATCCCAAAGGACAGAGCAGGCTCCAGACCTGGGGTGCAGGTCCCTATCCTTTTCTCATTCTGAGTTACCTCAGAGACCCCCCAAGCCTGCCATCTATGGCTCTGTGATTCCAAGAAAGAACCGGAGAAGTGGCAGGGACTGCAGCAGTATTTCCGAAAACCCCACAGCCACGTCCACGCAGACACGGGACCCTTCACACGCAGAGACGCCCCGCAGCCAGCCCTGGGGCTCCCCGCAGAATTCAGCTTGTGCCACAGGCTCACCGGCGTGTGGTGCTTCTCCATCTACTGCCCCCATGGATAGGAGAATCCAAGAGCCTCTGCCCCCTCCACCCCTAGAGAAGAGGCACACCCACGCCCCCGTGGTGGACAGAGGAGGCCGTGTTCACGATGAGGTCCCCACACTGAAGCCACACAGCCATCCTCCAATGGCCCTGAGTTCAGGGCTCCATGGACCCCCTGAAGGCCCCCTTCCCCAAATTCCCGACCCCTATGTGGCAAGGAGACACCGACCCCTGCCATCTACCCCAGACAACTGTCACCATACTCAGACCTCTGTCCCCGCTAGGCTGAGATATAACAAGCCATTACCCCCAACTCCCGATTCGCCCCAGTCCCACCAGCCTCGCGTTTCTCCCTCCCATAGCTCAAGGTTGTACAGGCCTCTGCCACCTGTTCCCATCCTGAATCCTGCCGATGATCCACCCCCACTGCCTCCAAAGTCCAGGGTGCGGAGCAAGAGCTCGCAGGCCGGACTGCTGAATTCAGGTCCACACACACAGACACCCCTTGGCCAAGAATGGACGGTCTCTGCAGCCCCCTCTGCTGGACGCACCTCCTGGCCCCCAGCCACAGGGAGGTCCGCAGAGGCCCTGGCTCCCAGAAGGAGGAATCAAGGCGAAGCCTCCTCAGTCCTAGCTTTCAGCAACATGACAAACATGCTGAGCCCCTCTTCCCCTACCACACCCTGGACCCCAGAGAACCCCAGTAAGGTTGAGGCAGAAGCCCCCGTCAAAGGACCATTACAAAGCTCCCTTCCCCAGGAAGGAGCCAGTGGTTCGAGGAGGTCCACCCTAGGCTCAGCAGGACAACCAGAAAAGCCCAGCCATCCCCAGCTGGAGAAGGCCTCCAGCTGGCCCCACAGGCGGGACCCAGGGAGGCCACCGGAGGGCGGTGGTGGCAGCGGTGGACAGGTTGTTCTTGGTGATGGCCCCAGCAAGCACAAGGGCTGGAACCGGCAAGGCCTGCGCAGACCTTCCATCTTGCCCGAGGCTTCAAGTGAGTAACAATGGAGGCCACATTTTGGTGAGGTCAGGTTTTTCCCAGCTCTTAACTACCTCATCTCCTCTTTTGTCCCCTCGGGTCCCTACTGTTTCCTCTGTAGTTCCGTCCTCCTCACACTCTACAACACAGAAGCCCCCTGTATGTCTCTGAGCTTATCGAGATGTTCTTCCCTTGGGCTCCTGTACTTCTCCATCTCTTTGTTGACCAGGGCCTTCTTTCTCTTGGCCTCTTCTATCTCCACACCTGCCTGCTCACCAGTGGTTCTCTATTGGGGTGTCTCTCTTTGTCCCGTTCCCATCCAGATATACAGGGTTGGGGACACAGCAGGTTCTGGTCTCCTAGAATGTTCTCTGGCACTTCTCTCTCTCTGTTTTCCTTTGCTTTCTGCATCTCCCATTCTACCTTGTACCTTCTTCCCTTTCGCTCTGATTTCCTCTGAAAGCTCTGTTTTCCATCACCCATCTCTCCACTTTCAGATTCGAGAAGTCCCTCCATGGGAAGATCTCCCGGCCCCTCTGACACGGTAGTTTTTCGGTGAGTTGCCCCCTCTCCTAACAAACACACTAGGCTTTCCTCACTTAGGATGTCAAGATTTAAGATGCTGAATTAGGATTTTAGTTAGTAAACTTTCTGACCGGGACCTGGAAAGAGAGACATCAGGATTCTAGGGTAGGAAGCTACCCTGCACTCTCCCCGAATCTGAGATACCTGTCCTTCTAAATCCTTTGACCCCAAACCAATGCCCATGTAAAAGTCACACAGGACAACCAGTAGAGCTATGAATTACCCACAAGTGGTTCAGGGGACCACCCCGAGCCGCTCCCAGGAGCTTCATCCTGAAATCTAATTACATATCAGGAAGGTTAGAGACTTCCTGATGCCAAGACACCTGGAAGTCTTGCATCTCATGACCAGCAAGCACCCAGAACTTCCCTTGACCCCACAGAGAGAAGAGACTGAAGGAGGGGACGGGAGGCTTTTCAAGGCGCTGCTCCAAACTCATCAACTCCTGTGAGTATCTTGAAAGCAATTGGAAGGACTCAGTGGGGAGAAGGCGGGGAAAGGGGGAGAGCTGTGTCTGTCCAAGCCGGCACAGAGGCTCAGGGCTGGCAGTGGGAGGTGGTGGTGTCCCTCAGACAGAGGGCTGGAGGTCAGCAGCAGCTGGCAGCTTCAGTCTCTCTCGGGACCTCTGCTCACCTGCCCTCTCCCACACATCCTCCCCACTGCAGCCCAGCTACTTTACCAGGAGTATAGCGATGTTGTTCTGAACCAGGAGATTCAAAGCCAGCAGCGGCTAGACAGCGTGACAGAGGCACCTGGGCTCGCCTCCCCTCGGCAACCTCGAAAGTCCCTGGTGTCGACCTCTGAGTCCTACCTGCAGCGCCTTTCCGTGGCCTCCAGTGGCTCCCTCTGGCAGGAAATCCCTGTGGTACGCAACAGCACTGTGCTGCTCTCCATGACCCACGAAGACCAAAAACTGCAAGAGGTACCACGCGGGGTGGGGCAGGGGGGAGGAGGGGGGAGGAGGGATAAAGAATAAGATTGCAAAGTCATATTTACTCACCTTTTTCATCCTCTCCTCCCCACCACCAAGAGCGGGTTATCCCCACTTACCCTCACCTCACATATGTGTGTCAACCATAGTCATCAGTCCTCTTCATTCTGAAGAACGCTCATTGCTCTCTGAATGCCAGCACTGTCTCTCATCCCCGCTTCCTTACGCCATGGGACATTGGCTCCTGCCTGATGCTGCATCTCTGCATGTATGGGAAAGAGTAGGAAATAACTTTAGCACTGATTGATTCAAGGTAGACTGAAATTTCTACCCCTCTTCCTCCCCCAGGATTTGAAGCTAGGCTAAAATTTTCCTCTTCAATCAAGATATATAGCAGGTATTTTGTTGGGTATATGCAAGCAGACCAACTGGAAGTGGTGCTGTGATCCACTGACCTAAGAAAGGCTTTAGAAAAAGGCTTTACAAAGGCCTTTCTTGGTTATCACTTCTAAAAACAAGACTTTAAGAGAGGCTGTTTGTCTGGCTCTAAGCCATTCTCATTGATTAGTTTTATTTGGTTTTGTTTTTGTGCCAGTACTAGGGCTTGAAATGAGAACATTGAACTCTCTCTTGGCCTTTTTGCCCAAGGCTGGTGTTCTACACTTGAGCTACATCTCCATTTCTAACGTTTTCTGATTAATCAGAGATAAGAGTCTCCTGGACTTTTCTGCCCAGGGTTGTCTTCCAACCATCATCCTCATTCAGATCTCAATCTTCTGAGTAGCTAGGATTATAGGCATGAGCCATCACTGCCTAGCTATCATTAGTAAGTTTTGCCTAGAGATTATCTCATACTCCCAGATTTGTCTGAAATATGGGTGGAACTTGTTTTTTTCAGGAAGGCAATCAGATGCAGCAGAATAAGTAATTAGGGTGAAACCCACTTTCATAGTTGCCATTTAACTTGGGCCAAATTGCTTGATCTTTCTAAGTCAATGTTTCTTTATGTGTAAAAGTGAGAAACAAAGAGTTATTGGCTGAACAACAACAAAAAAAAACAGATAAATACTTAGCATATAGTAATTACCAAGAAAAACAATACTGCCAGGTCCAGTGGCTGACACTTGTACTCCTACCTAGATATTCAGGAGGCAGAAATTAGGCTAGTCCAGGCCAAATATTTAGATAATGCCCATCTTAATTAATAAGCTAGACATGACAGTGCATGCCAACAATCCTCGCTACCTGAAAGGACACAGGTAGAAAGATCTAGGTCTGTAATTGGTGAAACCCTGTCTGAAAAATAACTGCCAAAACAATAGCCTGGGACATGACTCGTGGTAAAATGCCTGTCTAGCAAGAATAAGTTCTGCGTTCAAAGTTCAGGGCCATTTTAATTTAAGATCAGGCAGATCGAGTACCGAGTCATTGAAATCACTGCCATGTTTTCACCATGTAGTAGCTGTGAAGGCTTAGACAAGTCGAAAACCTTCACAGAATCTCAGCTTTCCTGATCTGTCGGTTGAGAATAGCAATGCTTCCCTTTCAGCAGTGCTCTGTGGCTTAAATGGAAAACACAAATGTTGCTTACCATAATGTATGGTGCATGGTTTGAAAAATACTACCATCATACCCCCCCCCCTCCCTTTAGAAGCAGAGGGGGAAGACCATTTTGGCCATAAAGACTTAAGAATAAACAGTGTTTTCCTCAATTCAAACAGAGACAGACACGCACTTAAAAGCTTTTTAAAGCTCAGACTTGAGGCCCCTATTCTAATCACATTTTTAAATGTGTTTTGAGTAATCACCAACCCATCTCATATTACCAATGGGAGATGATGATGTGGACTCTCTCTCTCCCCCCCTCTCTCTCTCTCTCTCCCTCCCTCCCTTCTTCCCTCCTTCTCTCTCTGTCTCTCTTTCTCTCTCTCTCTTTCTGCAATTTCAGAAAAATAAGAAGCCACCAGACTCCTGTTGAAAGTGAGAAGAAAGACCTCTAAGTCATGATGCACATATTCATTTCATACACTAGAGGCTTTGGGGTCTACATAGTACTTTCACAAACTCATCTTCGTTTTTGACAGTCACATCTTTTTAGGTGGAAGTCACTACAGCTGCATAAAACAAGAAAAAGGTTTAGCGAAGCCACATGAGCCACCTTGAGTCAGTCACACAGCCAGTGGGCACTCCCGAGAGGATGCATCCTCAGTGATGTGGCTGAGTGGCCCTGCATGGTAGAGTCGTTGGACGCTGTCACTGCACACACACACACACACACACACACACACACACACACACACACACACACACACACACACACACACACACACACACACACACACACACACACACACACACACACACACACACACACACACACACACACACACACACACACACACACACACACACACACACACACACACACCACGGAAGCCACACCCTTGGACGGAAAGCATGAGCCCACCATCATAGCCATCAGTTACTGCGCCCCCTGCTGGAACCTCCAAACGAGTTCTTAAGTGCTGGATTTTCCCGTAACACTCTTATCTATATAATCTTGTTCTTGAATATCCTGCGCCTTTCCATTTCTCCCCAAACCACAATCTGAACTCATCATCTTCATGTCCTTAGTCCTTTATTCCTTTTTCAGAGCACCCCGGTTCAGTCAATGACTTAATCATTCACCCTGTTACCCAACTCAAGAACCAAAGCGTTGGCTCTGACTTTTGTTCCACCTCCAAACTAAGTCTGTCCAGAGCTTCCTTGTAAATAATTATGAATTGGTCTACTTTTCTTCATGCCCATGGCTATCCAGGCTTGCATTTCTCATCTCATCTTTGGCAACATCTTTTTTCTTGTAAAAGGCTCTTTTGCTCCTTCCAGTCTTTCCTCCCACTATGCTCAGAAGTATCTTCATTAAATAAAAATCGAGTCAAGTTACTTTTTTTCATTAACCCTTTTTAAGGTTTTCCTTTGCCTTAAGTTCCTATGGTTTTATAGTGTTCATATACCTTTCCAGGTCTGTTTGTCTCTCCGGTGTCATCTCTTGGTACGTCTTATTTGCTTGAGTCTAAAAAGTGCCCAATTAATTTAGGCTTCTTTTTGTAGAAGCAAATTTTAGTGAGCATTTTAAAAGTTTACCCGTGATTTTACGGTGCTGTATAACAAATCGAATGCACATATCCACAACCACATATAGTTATCATATGTGTATGTGTGTGTGTGTGTATTATTGAGGTTTCTTGAAAGCATATTTGCATTAATACATCTTTGGGGGCTTTCCCATGTTCTTCACCCCCATACTCAAATACTCTTTTCCATGCTTCCCAGATCAAGTTAGTCTGTGTTGTGGCTTTCAGTTCTAAGGGGTCTATCTTGTTCAAAATTTCCCCCCTAAAATATTGCTCTGTGGCTAGCAGATACCAGGGAATTGAGGCAAGTTTTCCACAACTCTTCCTGCTTTCCAACTCCCTAGGCAAAATTCGAGCTCATCGTGTCAGAGGCTTCGTACCTGCGCAGTCTAAACATAGCTGTGGACCATTTCCAACATTCATCCCAAATCCGGGCCATTGTTTCCAACCAGGACCACCAGTGGCTCTTCTCCCGTCTGCAGGATGTGCGGGACGTCAGCACCATGTGAGACCCGCTCACCTCTGCTGCATGTGCAGCCGTTCTGTGGTTAGGCATTGGGCCTTTACGGGGACTGGCCTTCCTTAGAAGCTTTCGTGTTGCCATCATTGAGCATGGAAATTGGGTCTCTGCTCCCTCTGTGATCTCGTATGGTATAGGAGTGGGAAGAACGAAAAGAGGGAGAGTGGGAAGAACGAAAAGAGGGAGAGCGGGGAGAGGGGGGAGAGGGAGAGAAGGAAGGAGAGAGATCCCTTAACAAATACATAAATAAATGAGAAATGTTTTCTGGGTTGACGTTTTGGACATGGTTTGAGCATGCCACTGTGTTTACCTCATACAAAGATTGGAGAATCAGAACAGGGCACAAGAAGAGTAAGAAACAGAGTTCCCAGATCAGAGAGTTAGATCAGGAGGAAACTAGCAGCAGCCGTAGAGAGAGTTGTAGTGCGTGGACAGCAAGGGGACCTGAGCTAAGGGGAGGCAGTTGGTGATTGGCTGGAAGTCACTCGCTCAGGGCACAGCAGGCTTCAGCCAGCTGCTGAGTGGAGGCCCCAAGGATAATGAGGTTTCTTTCCATACCATTCAGGTTCCTTTCAGACCTTGAAGAAAACTTCGAGAGCAACATCTTCTCTTTCCAAGTGTGCGACGTCGTCCTGAGCCATGCTCCAGACTTCCGCCGGGTCTACCTGCCCTATGTCACCAACCAGACCTATCAGGAGCGCACTTTCCAAAGCTTAATGTGAGGCTCGTCTCTCTCCGTCCCCCTGCGTGCCCTGTGGTGATGTGGAAATCCTCATAGCCCAGAGAATGGTGCTAAGAGGATGTGTTCTTGGGCTCGCTCTGGGGTCTCCGTGTCCTACGTCCCCTCGGCCCCTGAGTATCAGCACTCACCTTTCCTTCCAGCCTCCAATGTCCCACAAACCTTCCACCCTCCATCTGTTCTACGGAGCCTCCCTGAATCCCCTGAATCTTGTTGCTCATGCAGGAATAGTAACAGCAGCTTCCGGGAAGTCTTGGAGAAACTGGAGAGCGACCCCATCTGCCAACGCCTTTCCCTCAAGTCCTTCCTGATTCTGCCCTTCCAGCGCATCACCCGCCTCAAGCTGCTGCTTCAGGTATGCCGGGTCCTTCCTTAGTGGGCCGATCTTCCTGAGCAGCTTTCAGGCGAAGGGATGAGCTCATTCTCTTTTGGTGTCTTCACATTCTGTGGGGGATGTGAGCTTCTCCACTAACCAGTCTCTCCCCTCTTCATTCCTTCCTCCCCCCTGGTGCTCACCTGCCGTGTGTTCCATAGAACATCCTGAAGAGATCACAGCCCGGCTCCTCAGAAGAAGCAGAGGCCACGAAGGCACACCATGCCTTGGAGGAGGTGAGCAGCCTCTGCGACCACTGGGTTCCTCTCCTCCTTTTCACAGGGAAGTTTTCCAGGCCCAGGACTCTCGAGGGACGCTTTTCATGGAGAAGCTCCGGCAGCTGTCTGTATCTGCCTCACTTCCCATCTATCCTGCAGAGCAGTTCTGCTCCACATCGGGGACGTGAGCGTCCATCCACCTTCCCTCTTGTGCCAGGAATGCACTGTGGAGTCATACCACCCGTGTCCTAGCACTTGACCTGGGTCCTGCCTTTACTCCAGTCCAGCCTGCCGGGAAAGAGTGGAGCTGTGACACCTATTTCCTGATTGCTTGCTGGGACCCCTAGGTCAAGACTCTCTAACACAGTGTTCCTCCTTTTCCCTCACCCCACTCAACCCTCAGCTGATCCGAGACTGTAATAGCAATGTCCAGAGAATGCGACGGACGGAGGAGCTGATCTACCTGAGCCAGAAGATTGAGTTCGAGTGCAAAGTGAGTTGATCTCTGGTCTCCTGTCCATTCTTCCCATGCCTTTTCAGTAGGTTCTGTGGACAGTCATCTGTCTCACACTACCCCCGCAGCCTCCAACCTTCCAATTTTTGCTTGTGTTCTAGTTTTGAAAACATGAAAATGCCCATTCTGGTCTCTTAGACATATTATTCAGGGAAGAAATAGAACGGTGTGCATATTGTATTACTTTTGGTGTAAAAGTAGAGGATGGAAATCCCTATTTGTGTGTATGGGCATAAGTAAATTTGGAAAGATGATAAGCAATAAAAGGAATCTGAGGGGGAAGTACATTTGAGAAATGAGACAAAGAAGAATCCTGTGGGGATTGTTTCAATCATTTATTATCTTATCAGGTCACTTTGCATTTGAATTAAAGGAACAGGCTCCATATCTAATACTCTCCAACTAGAACAGATACCATATTTACCTCCCTTCAAGGGACAGAAAATCCCTTGTTCATAGTCTTAACACTAGCCCACTTAGCCAGGTTATTTCCCAATCTCTACCTTCCTTCGGGACCCTTCAGGAAGGGTACCCTGCAGCCCTTTCTTAGCTCTCTGTGTTCTTTCTTTGTTTGTTTTTGGGGTGTGGGTTGTTGGTTGTGAGGCTTAAACTCAGGGCCTGGGTGCTGTCCCTAGACTCTCTTGCTCAAGGCTAGCGCTTCACAGACTCTGTGTATTCTTAACCCCACATCTGACTCTGATGGTTATTTTCTTGTCTCTAGTCATAATCACGAAGGTCCAGATAGCACAACTGTCCCTGATCATTTGACTTCTAAAACACATCCTGCTGTGCCCTGCCTGTTTCTTAACATGCGTAAACTGGACTTTTGCAATCTTCAGTCTCAGCCTCTGAAGTGGAGCTCTCTCACATTCTCTCTCTCTCTCTCTTTCTCTCTCTGTCTGTCTCTCTGTCTTTCTCTCTCTCTCTGTCTCTCTTGCTGGTCCTGGGTCTTGAACTCAGGGCTTCTTTGTGCTCAAGGCTAGTGCTCTACCACTTAAGCCACAGCACCACTTCTGGCTTTTATAAGTTTTCACTCTCCTTGTTGGACCACAGGCACCTGGCACTTGCCCTAGCATGTAAATATCAGACCCACTCACCAGTGGGCAGTGTCATTAGAGGGTCCAGAGAAAAAAAGAGGGTCTTAAGAGGGAGTTTTGTGCAATTGGGAAATATGGAAGTCATGATCGGTAAGGAGGGTAAGATGGAACAGGAGTTCCTGCTTACCGTGTTTGTGACATTGGCTTGTCCCTCTTCCCACCCTGCAGATATTCCCTCTCATTTCGCAGTCTCGCTGGCTGGTGAAGAGTGGAGAGTTGACAGCCCTTGAGTTCAGTGTCTCACCAGGGCTGCGAAGAAAACTGAATACGCGTCCAGTCCACCTGCACCTCTTCAACGACTGTCTGCTGCTGTCCCGGCCTCGAGAGTCAGTGACTGGGAGGGAGGCTGGGTACCAGAGGAGCGTGGGCTGAGGCCAGAGGGAAGGGCTGAAGCAGACACTGAAAGGTCAAATGTCCTGTTCCTAGAGGATCCCTTCGCTTCTCTTCTCAATGGCTTGACTCATGGAGCCAGGTCATTGCATAGAGAAGAGAAAAAGAAAGGGATCCTGCCAAATTATAGCATGCGATCACGCGACAGGACCTGGGTACTGTCACAGCAGTGAGCCACATACACCAAATTATCTCACCATATTGTTAAACGGATCCACTTTTGACTTTTTGGGGCTGGATTCAACTACTAGCTAAGAAATACTGGGCTAATTTCAGACCTTGACTCTGGAACTTAGAAAACTTTGGTTGGTTTTCTCTCTGCAACCTTTTATGGTGGCAAAATATCCCCTGCACTACACAGATGGTTTGCCAGCCAGGCAACAAGTCTGTTACCCAGGAGCTACCGTCTTGGGGACCGGTTAGGACTATCATGTGGCTTTTGTGGGAAGTTTGCACGCTGCAGTTGCTAAAGCTAGGCTGTTTGAATAAAGGAATATAGGGGTGAATGAAGCATGGAACCTTGGGAATCACATTGGAAACACTTGTATTTTTCAGGGGCAGCCGGTTCCTGGTATTTGACCATGCTCCCTTCTCCTCCATCCGAGGGGAAAAGTGTGAAATGAAGCTGCATGGACCACACAAAAACCTCTTCCGCCTTTTCCTGCGGCAGAATGCCCAGGGCACTCAAGCGGAGTTCCTCTTCAGCACTGAGACTCAGTGAGAGGGGGCTGGATGGGGGTGGGGAGGTTATGGGGGTCATGGGTGGGCATCCTGGAAGGAAGTGAGATCAGGCAGAAAACTTGTGGCTCAGTGGTAGAGCGCTTGCCTAGCATGCATGAAGCCCTGGGTTCGATTCCTCAGTACCACATAAACAAACAAACAAGAAACTGAAAGTGGTGCTGTAGCTCAAGTGGTACAGTATTAGCTTTGAGCAAAAGAAGCTCAGGGACAGTGCCCAGGGCCTGAGTTCAAGCTCCAGGACTGGAAAAAGAGAGAGAGAGAGAGAGAGAGAGAGAGAGAAAAGAAACAAAAAAGAAAACTTGTCTAGTCCAGACAAGGGCCTGAGCACTAAGGGAGCCCCCTGGGGCTTAGGAGCAACCACAGAGAAGCGTGCACCCCAAGAACTAATAGGCAAATTGCTGAGGTCTAGGGGTGGGAGAGGAGATGAAGTTGTCATTAAGACTTAGCATCTGCTTTTATCCTCGATTCAGAAAGAGACAGGATGTGTGTGCCATATCAGGAAGACATGGGCTAACATGGATTGAGCAAGGGTTCGGATTACTGTATCCACCAATGAACGCCCACTCATGCAAGCCAGAGACCCTTCAGTACCCAAGGCTTGTGTGAATAAGAGACACCTTGCCTTCTGCCTGCCATCCTCCCATCTCCCAACTCCCAACTCAGCCCTCTGTTGAAATCCATATATTTGAAAGATGATTTCTTACCTTTTCAACAGTAATAGAAAATTAGTACATTCACATGTACGTGCATCCATGTTTGAGGGTAAAGTATACCTATAAAATTTGGTACACAACACTTGTTGTATTATATCTATTCTACAATTAGTATTATACCTGTAGTATTATGATTATGGTATAGTAGATGTATAGTATACAGATAGATAGATAGACAGACAGACAGATAGATAGATAGATAGATAGAGTATAGAATATAAATAACTGTACTGTCGTTGTCAAAAGATAGAAGATAGAAGAAGAGTCTTTTTTTAAGCAGTTCAACCCAGTAAATATGTAAAGTTTCTCATGTGGTAAACACTTTGGAGTTTTTGCCTTTGGAAGATTCTCTGGGGTGAGATTGTTGGCCCTGTACCTATCTTTATTTATGGAGCAGAGAAGCTGACACGAGCCTTTGTGTGCAGATATTATGTGTCCTGGATAGTCAGATGCAGATTTGTGCACTTTGCTTAATGCTTTGGATCACATCTTCCTGAAAGAGTAAGAGTATCTGCTCTCAATGACTGAGGCACTTTTGGAAGCAAAAGTGAAGATGATGCTGAAATCCTTAGATGATTGCCAAGTAGACCAGGGTCCCACTAGCAGCAACAATGAAGTGGTGGGCCTGTGTCTATCACGAAGTAGCTGTCATGTCAGACATTTGACTGAAGGGAGGTGGAGAGAGAAGAGGAGGGTTGTCCAGAATCATCCAAAGCAACAGAGGAAATCCAAACTCCGGTGAATATTTTGCTCGGCACAATTTCCAAAATAGAAGATCTGCATGTGCATATTTGATGCATTTCACATTAGGTCCCCAACGGGAAGATACCAGGAGTCATTAGAAGCCTAGAAAGCGAAGCGGGAAAGGAAAGTGTGACAAGACTCACATGCAACTCCAGACTGTCCTGTATTCTCAGCGAGGCAGGATCCTCTTGACTTTGGTCTTGGATGTCCTTGAAGTGGACAAGTCTGTGGCCAGCTCTTTCCTTCCCTACAGCTGGTGCTCATCCTACATCCCCCCCTCCCGTTCCCCACCCAACTGAAGCTAAGCCTCTTCTTTGTTTTCTCAGGAGTGAAAAACTCCGGTGGATCTCTGCCCTGGCTATGCCAAGAGAGGAGCTGGACCTGTTGGAGTGTTACGGTAAGTGAAAAAAACCTGGGCGACAACAACAACAGAATGGCATGAAACAGCAGGGCCCAGGGGTTTCTTCCTGGCTAGTGGTTTAGGGTGCTGAGTGGTCACTGTGTGAAGCCTCCGTGCATTGCTTTTCCTCTGAACTTCAGGGTGGAACACTGGTCCTAGGACCTCAGCACTTCTTAGAACTACTCTTGGCCTTAGACCTGCCCCGCCTTAGATGGATTTTCTTTCTTTCTTTTTTTTTTCTCTCTCTTTCTAAGATATATTTGTTCCCTTAAATCTGTCCTGCTTCGATTTTACCTTGTTACCTTCTTGAAGGTGTTGGGGAAGCAAGTGAGTCAGTGTGGTTCCGGTGGGGGTTACAGGAAGAGAAGCAACACAGATTTGTCCTGATGGAGCTCTTCCCACCAAGATGGCCAACGCCACTTAACCCCTGCACCCCCAGCCACTGTGTCACCCACATGGTGCATTTGTGTGCAGGAAGATAGATTTCTGCCTCTCCTGTTGGCCTCATACCTGTCACTGATGGTACCCTAGTATGTATGAACAGAGAGAGAAAGAGAAGAACTCAGAAGGACTTGTGGGCTTTAGTGACTAAAAAGAGTCAAGGAGCCTTGCACAAGGAACTAGGAGACTTTTTTCACTCCGTTCTCCACCAGGGACTTCAGACCCGGTGGGTCTTCATCTTCTTCCTCCTTCATTACAGTATTGGGAGTGGCAGATGGGAATACATTTTAGAAAAAAAGGTAAAAATTCAAATGCAGCTTTCTAGCCAGGCTCAGTGGTTTACACCTGTAATCCCAGCTACTCAGGAAGCAAAGATCAGGAAGCTCATGGTCCAAGCCAGGCAAAAATGAGAGATGCTACCTGGAAAAAAGAAAAAAACAGATCTAAATCCAAAAGGTTTGGTAGGATGACTGAAGAACTATAATGAACACAGGGGTCTGAGTTCAAACCCTGGTACCACCAAACAAACAAGCAGCACTCTATTTGTTTTCTGTCAGAACCAGGGTAGTGTTAGGAAATAAAAGAGTCATAAGCCCAGGTCAGATAGAATGCCACTAGGACAGCCGTACTCTGAACTCTGAACTTTATATCCATGGGAATATTACCTGGTTTACAAAAGTATATAAACAGAAACCTTGGCATTTCCTCAGTATCATCCTGGTCATCTTCGATCAGTGATCATCTTAATCGTTTGCAGATGACGACCAAGGGCATGGAGTTCCTTGCTTAGGTCAGGCTGGATTTCCACTGGCCACGTCTCTCCCAGGGCCACCTCTGGCCTTGTGAAGGAAGTGAAGGATTCACAAGCTCAGATGTCTTCTAGGAGAAGCTCTGAATTGATATTTCCCACATCTGTGTGATTGACCAGCCCTGATGGATGGGCCAGACTCTTGGGATGGAATGTTGCATCAGGAGCCACAATTATCTGGGGCTACCTTGAGTCCCCTTAATAGCCTCTTATTACCCACCTCTTATCTGACCTCACATCCCTGAGACTATTGGGTAACCCTTCTGGAATGTATTATTAAACTTAGCAGACCACTTGTGTCCACCAATCTTGAAGCTAAGAATAACATCTCAAACCTGTGGAAGATATATTTCCTCACTCCCCTAGGAGCTGCCTACCTGATGTCCCCAACAGACTATTTACCCAATGTATTCATGCATGACTTTAGAAGTTCATGCAATCTCTTCTACCATGGATCACATTATTTGGGGTAACCTGGATACATATGTCTGGGTCAGGGCCCCTGTGTTTGACTCAGAATAAACCATGAATGATTCCCTTTGGAGAAAGAGCTGTGTCTCGCATTAACCAAACATTCATAAAGCAATTGGAGAAGGGATACATGACCATCAGTCTTAAAAGTGTTCAGGACCCATTGACAAAACTAAAGGGTGAGGGAACATATCCTGGGTCAGATGGCTCTTCTGTTAGATGTCAAGTGTTTGTAGTGATGAGTTACTAAAGGTGATCACAGCATATATTGTTTGGGTTCCTGTTACAAGATTGTTCCTGTCACCTCTTGTCTGCAGACAAGAACTTACCTCAAGGTCTCCCAACCTCTTGGTGCAATTCCATCACCCATTTCCCAGTCTCCAGCTCCTCCTCACTTTCCTTTGCTCTTTCCTTCCAAAGATTCCCCACAAGTCCAGTGCCTTCGAGCCTACAAGCCCCGAGAGAATGACGAGTTAGCACTGGAGAAGGCGGACGTGGTGATGGTGACTCAGCAAAGCAATGACGGTAAGAGGGGCCACCAGGACCGGGCTGGGCACGGCACACAGAGGTAGCGCGAATCACCCGGGGCTGTCCGAACCAAAGCATCACAAAGCACGTGGCTTGGAGTAACAGGACAAAATGGAGGTGTTGGCCTGCCCTTTCCGGAGCCTCTGGAAGATCTCTCTTCTCTTGTCTGGTCTAGTCATTGCCAGGTTTCCTTGGCTTGTAGCGCCATCCCTCCCATCCCTCCCCATCTTCTCCCTGTTTCTGTCCAAATTTCCTGCCTTCTGTAAGGACACAAGTTGCATTGTATTAATGGCCACTTCCCTCTAGCATGGCCTTAAGCTTAGCATTAAGACTAACATCTGCAACAACCTCACTCCCAGGGAAGTACCAGGGTCTGTCTTGGTATCCATGGGTAGTTGCGGGGGTGACACCACATGACTTACAAGCAGTGGGGGAAGGCTCGGGAATGGGCAGCTGTCCAACTCATCAGCCCCACAACACTTCCATTTAGTATCCTGGAAACCGGCTAGTCCCCTCCCTATTCCCCCCCTCCCCCCCACCACCATCCCAGTTTGTTCAGCCTCACGATGCAGAAAAGTAGAAAAGTTTGGGGGAAGGAGGCCTAGGGAATGTAGCAGGGCCTGGGGAATTTTCTCGATAATTCTTGTTTGCACTTCCCCTTGCCCTCACAGGCTGGCTGGAAGGAATGAGACTGTCAGATGGGGAGCGAGGCTGGTTCCCGTTGCAACAGGTGGAGTTCATTTCCAACGCAGAGGTCCGTGTACGGAACCTGAAGGAGGCCCATCGAGTCAAGACGGCCAAACTGCAGCTTGTAGAGCAGCAAGCCTAGCTGTTCTCTGTGAGCGATCTTCCGAGCATAAGAACAAGCTGGTCTTGGAAACGGCTGGCCACAGAACCTGCTTCAGAGGACATCTGTGGCCCCCAAAACTACAAAACACCCACTCCTATGGAAGCACCAGGAGACAGGAGAAGGCCCTGTCACCCAGGCACTCCCTCTCTGTTTTGTTCTCCGGAGGGCTATACTGAAGAACTTCACACTGGATTCTGGGTTCCTTTTCTCAAGCTAGGGAGGGGACCATGGCGGTTGAGCCATGGAACTTTACTGCTAATGCCATGTAGTTTGCAAATATCTCCTACTGCAGGAGAGCAGACTCAGAGCTGACCAAAGTCTCATGCATGACTCTGTTTTCAGGGGATTTGCCTGTCTATCACATGGGAAGGTCAACTAGTGACCCCGAAGGTATCTCTCCTCCCTAGAGAGTCTCCTTATTTCCTGATGTGAGCTCTGTGTGTACAGCTCTGAGACCTGTGATTCTTGGTGGCAACGTGAGGGTGGTAAGTCTCTCACTCTAATAAACTTGGCACTTCTTCTTCAACTGTTTTCTTCTCAGGCTCCTTGTGATAGAACAAGGATCAAAACATGGGATTTGTGACGGTTCCAGTCTTTTGCTTTAGTTGAAGTGGAAGGCCAAGATGATGTCCAGGGTCTGGCAGCTGCTGGCTTTTGTTCCATGACCTCTAAGATCTGGACAGTTATTCTGCTCGTGGTGGGTTCAGAGGTCTGTGGAAAGAACTAGAAGTAGTTGATGATGGGTGCTGAAAATCCATTCAGACTTCTTCTCTTCCCAGAAGGTACAGGTACAGTCTGTTTTGGGTGTGGAGAACCCTTCGTGATTTTCCATTCTGATGCGAACTGTTGTGAAGATCTCCTTGCAGCTGTTTTATCTTCCTTGTGAAAGGCAGCAGGTAGAATGGAAAGAGTCCTAAAATCCAAGATCAGAGGCCGGCTGGCCTTGCAGCTACCATGTCTATTAACTTTGTACCGCGGAAATAATAAAAGAGATATCTCTAAATACTTAAAAATCGCACAGACAGCATGAGTAGTCTCTGTGTTCATTTGATGATCATATGACCTTACACTTGCTAGACAAGCACTGTTCCCCTAAGCTTTATCCTTAGCCCCTTGAATTTTTTTTTTTGAGATAGAAATTGTTTTGGGGCTGGGAAGGTGGCTCAGTGGTAGAGCGCTTGCCTTGCATGCATGAGGCCCTGGGTTCAATTCCTCAGCACTACATAAGCAGAAAAAGCCGGAAATGGTGCTGTGGCTCAAGTAGTAGAGCTCTAGCCTTGAGCTGAAGAGCTGAGGGACAGCGCCCAGGCCCAGAGTTCAAGCCCCATGACCAATCCCTCCCCCCCCCCCCCCCAAAAAAAAAGAAAAAGAAAAAAAGAACTTGTTTAGGCTTTAAAGGTCTAAAAGAACTACATTAGCTGAACTTTTCCCTGTGGGTGTACATACACTTAATCTCTCGGATATAAGCTTGATTCCCTTGTTTTGACTCCATGTGGACCTACCCATGCTGGGGGGGGAGGGGCTGTCATATCACTAAATATGAATCTTGAGTGATGTCACCTTTATCATCAGTTCTTTATGTTTGTGGAATCACATGAAGAATTCCTCATTTTAGCATGATGGGCCCTCCCACCTTCCCCCAGTCACATCCAAAACACTTGTGCCTGGGTATGCCTGGTTTAGGAGACCACTCTATAAATACCTTGTATCACTGACACAGACTAGTGACCCTGGATCTACACTGGCTGTAAACATTTCTCAGGAGCTGCGTGATTAACCTGTATCTGAGTTCAGTTCAGCCTTCTTTTGAAATGAGGCGTGTGGAAGGGCTGAAGGTGACAGGTAAAGAAGCTAAAGAGAAACAGCTGCCAAACCCTGTCCTGATTCAAACACACGTCTTGCCTAAATTTAGAACATTTATTTATTTATTGCTATGCTTAATAGTCTTTCACTCATTTTTTTTTTCCGATTGGCCTGTTTTCAATGACAGTTATGGAGTGGAAATTTCCTTCACTTCTTCCTTGTTAAGACTATCCAACCCATCTGCAGTTTCCCAGGGAAAATTGCAAAAATAAACAAAGGAGGCCATGAAAGAAATGAAGGCCGAGTGCATGAGGAATTGGTTCTTCCAGCGGGGGCTGTGAACTGGGAGTCTGTGGAGAAGAGGAGCTTGGGGGAGGGATGCTGCAGATGGTTTTTGTGGAGCCGGTGAGGGTGAAGGCGCCTGCTGCTCCTTCTGCCTGGGAATGAGTCATGAGCCCCAGGGCTGAGGTCAGATGGAAGGAAGGAGTAGCCAGGCCCACAGAGCTCTTCAGGAGCACCCATGGGCAGATGTGTATTTTCCTGGCCCTTTACCTCAGCCTTTCAGAGTGGAGACTGTCTCTGAACAATGGAGATGGTGAAGGGAAGTCGAGGGGGATGCAGTGAGGATGAGCACTGGGTTAATTGTGCTCGCAGGCCCAGAGCACCTGAACACCAGGCAGAAAATTCAGACCTTTTCAGGGACTGGTGGCTGAGAGCGACAGACCACTGGGTAGGAGGAGGTAGAATTGTAAGCCAATCAAGACAGACTGACAACCATCATAAAGCAAATAGTTTGAGGGAGAAAGGGTCACAAGACAGCAAAGCAGAAGAGAGCCTCTGCCTCCAGCTAGTCGTGGAGTGTTTTCCTTTTGAGATCAACTTGGGCTGGAAAGGAGACAATTATCTATCGTTAGAAAACAAATTTTTTTTTAAAGAAGAAACCTTAAGTCCCTTGTGTCTAGCAGCTTTCTTTGTGTCTAAGATGCTTCATGCCACTTGGAGAAGGGAAAAGATTTGCCTTCTGTCACCCAGCCCAGAAGCTAGCCAGGACAGTTTTTAACATTTGTGTATTCAGGGCTGGGAGTTAAGCGAGGGATCTGCTGACTCTGCGATCATCACGAAAGGTTGACAGGTGACTGGGACTTGCCCTGAGATGCAGAGATTGAACAAACAGAATATGACTAGGCAGCTGCGGCCACACGTGTGGAATCGCTAATAAGCAGGTGGCACAGGCAGACTTGAGCTGGGCCAGGTAACTGACTAGAATGAAGGGTCAAGATGCAATTAATCATATCCTAGCAACAAGCCAGGCCTATTAAAACAAATACTACAGAATTTCAAGTGTGTGTGTGTGTGTGTGTGTGTGTGTGTGTGTGTGTGTGTGTGTGTGTGTGAAGGTAACTACCAAGATTTTGGAAGAGGAAAGTACTAGAAGATATTTAGATAAGATAGAATTGACAATAGAAAGATTAGACTTCCTGAAATAAGCCTGGAATTAACAAATGAGAAGCAAACAGAGATGAATGAGTATCTCAGTTAAGACATTAAGACAAACAAATTAAGATAAACAAATGGAACACTCTTCCTTTAAACCTCAGGTATTTGTTCTTTTGGATATCTGTTGGTTTGCTGTTGATGTTTTGGTGCTGGGATTGACCCCAGAGCCTCTCACCCTGGAGCTTGAGCTCTTCCACAGAGTCACACCCAGCTAACACAATTGTCACAGTTCATGGGACTAATTCACTGGATATGAAAATGTACTTGATTACTATCTGTTTCAATGATTCACAATTATAGGAAACCAATCATCAGACATGCAGTGGCTCACACCTGTAATCCTAGCTACTCAGGAGGCTGAGATCTGAGGACGGAGGTTCAAAACCAGCCCAGACAGGATTATCCATGAGACTCTTATCTCCAATTAACCACCAGAAAGCAGGAAGTGGTGCTTTGGCTCAAATGGTAGAGAGCTAGCCTTGAGCTGAAGAGCTCAGGCACAGCACCCAGGCCCAGAGTTCAAGCCCCATGACCTACAAAAAGAAAAAAAGACAAGAAAAATACCAAATCAAACCAGACTGAAATGTGTTCTGTACATGGCAATATGTTTCCGTAATGAAGTGCACAGATAGCAGTGCTTGGAGACGCTGAGTGCTTGTTGTCATTGTTCTTCTGAAGGGGCCTGTGGAAGACAGAAGCTTGTTTGTGTCTTGGATAATACACGGATTGGGACAAGGTTGCAGGAATCAGGGGAGGGGGGGGGAGGCTCTCAGGGGACAGAATTCGATGGAAGAGAGATGATGTAAGCAGCGATAAAGTGAGAAAGCACTAGGAAGGACCACAGCATTGGTAGGAAGAAGATTCCATTCTCAGATCACAAAACTACAGCAGGTGGGATGGGTGGATGGATGGATGGATGGATGGATGGATGGATGGATGGATGGATGGACTGATGGGTGGATGGACTTGAGGTCACCTGACCAGGGCACAGAGCTGAAGAGACAAGCAAATCAGATGCAGGTGACACTGCAAGATGATTGGGCAGAAGCCATGTCTTCCTCTAGACCTCTGAACTTTCTAATCTCACTACCAGATACCTGGACACCATCTGGCATCTCCCCTCCTAACCAAATTTAGTTTGTCTCTTCATAGCATCACTCCCATTGTTTGCTTCTCCCTGAATTCCCTCGTAATTCCCTACCACTAGCTTAATGCTTCTACTTCATTCCTACACACTGGATTGACTTTCCCACTTGCCTCTTCCCTCCCCATCTGCCCACGTGTAATCCTTCAGGGAAAGTTCTACAATCATGTCAGGCTTGACTTTACAACCTTGGCCCCTGCCAAACCATCTATCCAGCTACAAGCACCCAGCCTTTCCCTGGATTTCTCACACAGTCCCTATATACATGCTCACTTCCCTCTCTCCCTGTCCTCATACCAGTTCCCTTTCCAGTTTCAGAGCGTGCAGTCTTCCTGTTTTCTCTTATGAGATATTTCCATTCTCCCACTTCTGTATCTTTTTAAGTCAAACTGAATAGTCCTGAATGTTTATATTATTTAGTCATAGACCTAGGGCCCATGGGAGGAGTTGATCCTCATTCCTTCCTCTACTGTAGCTTATGCCATTGTGATATTACACTCTGCTCAGCCTTCTGACTTCCATTATTCTCTATCTAAAACTATCAATAGATTTTTTTTTCTTATTGAAATTGAGACCTTGTGATCCAGGTTGAAATCCTTTCCAAAATCTCCACCTATTGTAAGTCTGGGAAATATTGAAATGTCTTCTCTAAGTCTCAGACTTCCATCTGTCCAGTGGATAATACTTACAAGGTTGTTTTGTGATGAGATTATCCAGCAGAGAGCTAGCCGTATGATGAGTGCTGAATGAATGGTTAGCATCAGAGTCACTATTTTGTCAAAGAACTAAGTTCTGCGTAAAGTAGGAAAGCCATTTCAGCTACTCCTGGCTTCATGAAACAGATATGCACACAAAAATGGATCTCCTGGCTGGCCTTTCACCTAGAAAGGCTTTCCGTTTATAAAATGGCAGCCTGGCAGTCACAAAGCAAGAGACTCCTCATCAGCAAGAGGAAACAAAAATGAGCCCGGAAGATTTTTCTGTACATGGGGCTGAGGCATCTTTGGGAAATCCTTGGAACCTTGGTGTCTCCTCTCTAGATTGGAATGATTGTATCTTTATTTGCATGCTTTCTTGCCCAACCTCCTCTCCGGCACCTAACGCCTCCATTTCCCATCCAACGCGACTTCCAGCGACTTCTACCACTGCAATACCCCCTTTCTTCTGCCTCATTCTTTTTGTAACAGGTGCTGTTTCTGTATTAAAAGCAACATGTTTGTCTGTCTGTGGACTACTTTTCTCATGCTCTGCTGGTCCTGACTTCACCATTGTTTCCGATGCCAAATAAGCCCACTACCAACATCCAATACTTCTCTCCCTTATAGATTCCGATTCCACATTGTTCCTCCATCAAACACCTACCCAGGTAATTATGGGAATTTCACCATCAACATAGACACACTGTCTCTATTGTTTCTCCCAATTATAACATTTCCCCTCAATTATGGCTTTTCTTTTTATAAATTATATTTCCATTACCTTTCAACAAACCAGTTTACGAGTACAATGCGTCTTGATCGATGACACCCCTCTCAACATTCTCATCTCTCCCTGCCCTCCTTCTTCCCTCAATTTTCTTAATCTTGTAGGATATACGTTGAACTTCATGGCTGCATTTCCTAATTACCAAGGTATTTGTTTTCTTCCTCTTTGCTTATTCCTTTTCTCTAAGTTTCTTGCCTTGTCATATTGGTTCTTATTTAAATACCCCTCACGTCTGTGCTTGCTTCACCTCACCCTACCTTACCCTGCTTAGCTCTCAGGCTAATTCAGTGGCCTGGGATCGTATCCCTGTGACTCCTTTCTAGACCCTCCCAAGCTCATTCTCCACTTGTCTTTCAAAAGCTTGAATCTGGGAATGACATGTTCATGAGTTAGAGCAGCCAGTGCCTGCATTCACTAAAATACAGTCTTAATACCTGGGCACTGGATTCAAGCCTCACCCTGGCCCCTCCCATCTCTTCCACCAGCTTCCTCTTCCCCTTCTGCTCAGAGGCCTAGTTACTTGCTAGTAGCAATCTTTCTATTTTCATGGTATTACACTTGTTCTAACTTTTGCCTGAAATAATGTTCTTCCCTTCCCTGCATACCCAAATGCTACTCTTCTTTCTGAGCTGGTTGGCTCTCTGCCTAGATTCCAAAGCTTTCTCAAGACTGCCCCCTTGCCATGACTTCTTCCGGGCTTCTGACACCTTTGGCTCTCATCGCCAGACCGCACAGCAGAGCATGGGCCTATGTTGTCTCCATCATTCGTGTTTCAGACTTCCCTATGAGACAGGCAGGCCCCAGAAAGCAGTGGAGTTTGTCTAGAACTCTCAGTGCCTGTAAATCCCAGTTGGATTTACAGTGCTTCATTATAACACTCAAATGAGAAGGTATTATATTGTTAGTTTTATAGGAACTGAATCTCTGAACTCTCTTCTGGACTGGAAAAAAAAATCACCATTTTTATTTTCATTTTAGTCCGGAGGGAGAGTTAAAGAATGTTTTTGAGTGAATAGGAGGTGCTTTACTTCTAAGGAGTCAGATTTGCTGTTAATTGAGGCTATTTAAAACCTGGAATGCACGCAGCAAAAGCCACATTGCCTTTTGTAGCTTATTCCCTTTCTGTGTTCTATTTCTGCAAATGTTTACATAGACATTTAAAAATAAATTCTGAAGGTCTGTCTCATAAAATTACATAAGCAACTGAGGAAAAATATTCGACCAAGAAAAATGGAAAATAGGAACCCAAAATGTTTTAGAAGGGGAGACGGACTGTTTTTAGACAAGCATGGAACCCTTATAAAGACTCAGAGTGCTGTGAGTAGGGGTGAAGTTCAGAGAAGCAAGAGGGCAGAGGTGCTAGCAAGCTCCAGCAATGAGTCCAGGACTGCTCAGAAGCCTGATGGGTGATAAAGCTAATAAGACAAATGGAGACTACCTTTGGGCCTTTCTCGGGGTACAGGTGTCCTTAGCAAAGTGCTATTGCCAGATTTAGTAAGCACAAATACAGGACACCCAAATATTGCTTAGGACATGTTTATACTAAAACGTTCATCATGGTTTATCTGGAATTCCCATTTAACTGAACATCCCATATTGCACTGAGGAAAACCAAGCAACCATCCAAGTGATGAAGCTGAGTCTGAGTTAACAGAAAGGGACCCTGGGAGCACGTTGAGGAAGCGTTCCCTCCTCCCCCCCCCCCCCACCCCGCCCACCTGCTGTAAACTACCAGACTATTGTAGGGACCATAAGGAAACCAGCAGTAGATCGCCATCTAGTGGAACAAATTTTGTCATGAAATTTTACAAAATTAAAGAAATCGATTGTTTTTTCTTGAAGTTGGCCAGTAAGGACTCAGCTCTGGCCAACAGCCGAGCCCCAAGGTCCTGAGGCCGCACTGTTAGAAGAGGGGACATCAACGGTAAGGGGTGGAGGTTAGAAGAGGCCAAAACGTGTTTGCCCAGAGGTCTAAGTAGAAAGTGGTAAACAATGGCTCTCCAGTATGCGGGAAATGCTTTTTCTCCAGGAAAATACTAATAGAAAAGTGAGTGCCAGCTACAAGAGCCTTCAAAACATTGGTTCACAAGGGCCTAACCAAATTTGAGACAGGGAAGAACAGGGAAAAAGAACGCAGTTCCAAAAGCTAACATTCTAATGCTAACGTATGGTCACTGGACCCTTAGAATCCAGGGGTGCACGGTTCCAGGACACTGATGTAGAGAAAAAAAACAAGTGCTCAGGACACAGAGTCCATACCACACTCCACACCAGATGCCTGATTTATTGTTCCCATAATGCCACCAAACTTCTGCAAAGGCCGTGTCATCTTTCAACCAATCAGAATTTTTGTGTCACGTACACAAAGCTCATTCCGTTTTACCTTGACTTGGGAGCACCGTTTGCTTTTGGGAAAGCAGATCTTCACAACATGGCGGGCAGGGAAACTCTGAGCAAATCACACTGTGCTCGCTCAGTTCCACCGCTCTGTCATTAAACACGCCACTTGGCCACCGCAGCTGTGCTCTGGTGTTCCCCCTTTTCATGTTCATCCCGTGACCCATCATTGTTCTCTGCTTTGCAATTCTACTTCCAGTGTCACAGGCTATTTCTCCCCACTTCTTTCCCATTCCCCTCACGACCTGTTCCGTCTTACCTTAGAATGTTATGTCACTTTTCCATCTTGAGACCTATGCCCTAGTTTTTCTCTTCTGCTTAGAATAAGATCTGTCCCGAAGTAAATTTCTGTTTTCCTGTTCTATGTCCCAACGTTTGCTTATTTTACACACAGTCCCTACTCAGTATTCTTCTTTCCAGTCCTTTCCAAATCTGTCTGTTTACCCCTTCTCTCTCTCTCAAAATGCTTGTGCACCCACCTTCTTCTTCTCTTATGTTTCTTACATTAAGATCTTAAGCACAGAGCCAGTAAGAAATAGTTAATATTTCTACCAAGTTTGTCATCTGCCCAATTTGGCTGTCCACCACACCAGACAAGGGAGGTGCTGAGGTTCAATGTGGACTCACCCCAAGCAAGCCAGGCTTGGGGTCAGGTTTTGGTAGCTGGGCGCTGGTGGCTCACTCCTGTAATCCTAGCAACTCAGGAGGCTGAGATCTGAGGATCATGGTTCAGAGCCAGCCCAGGCAACGAAAGTCTATGAGACTCTTATCTCAATAAACCACCCAGAAAACCAGAAGTGGCGCTGTGGCTCAAGTGGTAGAGCACTCGCCTTGAGCTGAAGAGCTGAGGGACAGCGCCCAGGCCCACAACTGACAAAAAAAAAAATTTTTTTTTTGGTGCCTCTGATAGCAGGATGGTAGACACACACAAAAAAATACATGGATCCTGCTGCTGGTGATGGTTCACACCTGTAATCCCAGATACTCAGAAGGTAGAGAGCAGGGGTGGGGAGGGGGTGGGGGGGTGGGGAGGAGAGTATAGCTACAAGACCTGCCCAGGAGAAATTATAATACTGTATCTCAGAAACAACCATATATACATATGTATACAACCATATATGCATCCACATATGTGTGTGTGTGTGTGTGTGTGTGTGTGTGTGTGTGAAGGAACTATGAATCCTCCACCCCAGTCCAGTGAGGTTTGTGATCTGAGAGATTGGAGATGCTAGAGCATCTGAGAACTTCAGTCCACCTGACACACCATTTTAGGTCCCTCTTACACTTTACCTCTCTTTCCTATCCTCCTCCCGGAAATAATCTTGGAGGAAACAGATCACTGATCACAATATCTGAGATTCCATCTCAAATACCCTGAGGTTTCTCCATTTGGGGCTCTAATTCCCAACCCCTCCGGCCCAGTTTCCATACCTCCCCCCCTTTCCTTTCCCCTTCCTCACACCCAATTCACTGGCCTTCCCGCCGCCACCACCACCGCTGCCACCCGAAGACTCTCTCTTTTCCTTTCCTTGTGGTCCCAGTGGGGGCCCGCCGCAGGGCTACTTCCCAGGTCGGACGCAGGCACAGGGCTGGGTTTTGGATTACAATATGGTTTAAGAAGAATAGGAGGACTTCTTCCCAGGGCTGCCTTCAATGAGTGGGCCAATGTTTTTGGTTTTTTTTTAAATGGAGCCTTTTATCAGCCCAATGGGGAGACATGTAATCATACAGAAAAACCCAAGGGTTTGTGGCTTTATTGCTTTCCATGGACACTGGCTCAGTGTCTCACAAAGAAAGAAAATAACAGAAGCTGCTATCACATTCAGCAGTGTAACACCCCTCCTTCCTTCCTCAGTCGGGGGAAAGGAATGGACCACATTTTTTTCCCAACCAAAACCTAGCAAGACAAACCCATATCAGGGAAACCACCAAGTCCTGACCCAGCCAGCAGATCCCCCAGCGCCTCAGTGACTATACAAAGTCTCGCCCCACTAAAGCAGCTTCTCCTCACTCTTTGGTCCCCCACTTGGGGACGTGACTATTCCTGTTTCTCTCTCTGACCTCTCCAGGTACTGGCTGGTCCAGGGCAGGGGGAGGCTGCTTCATGTGGGCCTTGCTGATCGAAGGCCCTGGTTCTGGTCTGGCTTCTTCGGGCAACCCATTAAGGCCTGAAGAAGGATGTGTACTCATGGTCTGAGCACAGGGAGCGAGGAATAGATCAGGAAGGAAGCCATTCCCTCCAGGAGGGTATCCCAGAGCAGGTGGGCAAGACAAGCCAGAGAAGGGCATGTCTGGAAAGCAGGGGTCATTCCAAGGCGCTGCACCTGTGGGGCCAGAGAGCACAGGAGTCACTGCATAGGATGATGGACAGCAAACCTCCATGTCTTCCCAGACAGAGTCCTGCCTCCTAGTGGAGAAACCCTTTGGAAATGGGGGCCATCCGCCGGCACTGGGCTCTCCCTCAGGACCAGAAAGGCTCCATGGTCCCAAGTGGCCTTCCAGATGCTGAGGCTCTCTGCCACGCCCACCTTCCCCAGTCACCAAGGTGACTTGTCATGTCAACTCACCTGTATTTCCAACAGGTGGCGGTGGTGGCAGCAAGATCTGCCCTGATGGGGGGCCTGGGAAGTAGCCCTGCGGCGGGCCCCCACTGGGACCACAAGGAAAGGAAAAGAGAGAGTCTTCGGGTGGCAGCGGTGGTGGTGGCGGCGGGAAGGCCAGTGAATTGGGTGTGAGGAAGGGGAAAGGAAAGGGGGGGAGGTATGGAAACTGGGCCGGAGGGGTTGGGAAGAGCTGGCTCTGCGGGGGCTGAGAGAATGGGAAGGGCCCCAGCTGACTGCTGCCTTTACAGTCCTGAGACTCCAAGTCTTCCAGGTATGAGCCAGTGGGTGGTGGGGTGAGGCTGGGGGGAACAGAGAGGTTTAGTGAGACGGCACACAGGAAGGAGGTGCTGTTGTCCTCACTCCACTCCCCGTCTCTGTGCTCACCCTAACTTGCAATACCATGGCGGCCTCCCCTTTGTCCTTCATTTGCTTCTAACTCTTCCGCTTGTCTCTGCTCTATTGCTCTGATGTTCTAGATCGTTCTTACTCCAGATGCTCTCACCGCTTTTCCTCCCCATCATGTAAATCTACGTCAGCCCTTCCACCTCCTGGGGTGGCTCTTTTCCCCATCTCTACCTTCTACCTGCCCTGGGATGATTCAGGGTGTCCTCCTCCCTCAGTTTCCCTACCTTGTTCCCCATAAACCACAAGGCCCATCTGTGTGGCTGTTGCCCTTGCTGGGCGCATCTGTCCTCAGAGGCATGAGCTGGGAAGTGGGGACAGGCCCCGAGGGAAAAGGAAGGTTGGTCCGTTGAATAGGTGGGGGGCTGGAGAGTGGGGGCGTCACCCTTGCCCTCAGTGCCCTATCGCTGGGCCGAGTGGTGGCGAGAGTCGGGTCAGAAGTCAGCAGCATGGGGGTCTCTAGAGAGAGGAGGCAAAGTGGGTCTCTATGGATGAGAAGATGGGGAGACAGAGACCTGGGATTTCTCACTGGGGTGATGCGTAGGGGTCCCGTCCCTCCACAAGAGGAACCCCCCTTTGGCCCAGAGCCCCAAAGAGCTTCAGCCCACTTCCAACTCTACGGAGCAAGAATGCTCTATTCCCACTTCCTCCCTCTCCTCTCCCCAGGGGGCCCGCTGATGGGGGGGGGGCTCACCCGGGAAGGTCTCCAGTGGGGGTCCCGCAGGGACAGGGTCTGGCTTTGTGTCCACGGGCCTGGGAGGAGGTGGGAGTTCTGCTGTGGAGCTGGAGGTAGAAAGCAGGAAGACTGCAGTTCTGGTGGCTTCTGGGTTTAAACCAGAGTCCTCGTGCAGGGAAAGGGATGCGTCCACGGGCAATGTCCCCACTGCACAGGACCCTCAAAACACTCACCACCAACCCCGAGAGACGCAGGGCCCACCCGCTCATCCTCCCCTTCCACACCTCAGCATCCAGTGCGGACTCAGCTTCCTCCCTCCAGAGGTGAATAGAGGAGGAGGAGAAGGAAATTCTCACCTGCACTGACCGCTGGCAGGGGTAGGGACTGCCAGATTATCCTCCTTTTCTTTCCCGTTCAGTCTCTCCACTTTTCTCCACTTTGCCCGGCGATTCTGGAACCATACCTGTAGCAGACAGACCCAGGAACAGGAGACATGGGAGACAGGCTCTTGCCTGTCACACTGAGCTACGTGACCACGGGAGGCCATTTCACCCCTCTGCCCGTGTGGCTGTAGAAAAAGATCTTCATGAAGCCTTGCTCTACTAGGGCCCAAGGCTGTGGCTCTGTGGATGGGCAGGAAAACATGGCTCTGTCTCCCCGGCCAGATCTCCATGCAGATGGAAACTAAGCATATACTCTGGGCCCTAAAGGAACGTTTGCCACCACCCCAGCTAACCTGCTAGCTGGCCCACTTTACCATGATGCGCTGGGAAGTGACTCCCACAGTCTGCGCGATCTCCTGGCGCTTGTCCCCATCCGGGTAGTGGTCCTCTTGGAATACTCGCTCCAGCTCCTCCAGCTGGTCTGCAAGGAGAAATGGGCAGCAAGTGGCGATGTGCCAGGAAAGGAGAGAGGCCGGGCTGTCTCCTGCAGGGAGATCCACTGTCCCCAGCCTCCAAAACCTTGAGGCTCGGTTAGTTTCCCAACCGGCCAGACCTTCCTTCTCTCTGTCTTCTCTTGGAATGACATGACACACATGGTAGCCTCACAAAGCATGCGATTCCCATTTCTTCCCCCTTCCCATGGGTGACCCCTCCTCCCACATCTCTTGGTTTTCGCCTCAACTTTGGGAGGGGTGGGGGACTTACCCGAGCGATACAAGGTTCGAGTCTTTTTTCGAACTTGGCAGGTCACTTCGGGCAGTCCTTTCTTCTGCTCTGCGTTTTGGTTGCTCTGGGCCAGTGTACTGAGGAGGTGTGCCAGGTGAAGGCGGCCCGGCCCGGACCCCGAGCCCGAGCCTACAGGTATTGGTTTGTGGGTGGCACCGACAGAGTCAGGGTCACCCAGGCCCATGGTACTGGGCTTTTTCTGTTTGCCAGGGACTGGAGAAATGGGCCTCTTCACTGTTTTCACCTTTCTTTCTTGGAAGGAGCAATCCTCCCCTGGGGGTAGAGGCCTGGATGTAGTTCGGGTTTGGTCTTCATAGACAGCGTGGCATCTGGGGGGCACACACGCTGCCCAGGCCTTGGGCCCGGTCACATCTGCCGAGGCCGTTGGCAGTAGCTTCTCCCCTGTGCTGCCACTGAGGAGTGACGGCTCCTCACCCGGGGTGTCCTCAGCATGCAGGCTTGAGCCCTGAGGTGCTTTTTCTGGCTCAGGCTCAGGGATCAGGATTTTGCCTCCAGCTTCCTGGCCTGCGGAGAGCAGCAACCACTGTCCTCAGCCCCAGAGAGAAGAAGCTGGCACTGACAAGTACCACTTTCTGCTCGGCAAAGGCTCTCCTGTTGGATCCTAAACTTGCATTTGCTCACCTACTGAATGGGAATCATACAGTCAGGTCTCCCTCTGGGAGTTGCATGCGCCACACTGTGTGTCAATGAGCTGATTCAGTTTGGAAGATGGAAACAAACACCAGCAGTTCTGAATGGGCACTTAGCTCAGGGTATGAGAACAATCCGGGGAACAGCTCCTCAGTCCTATTCTAGACATTTGGGGTGTGAGATAAGAGGACTGGCACCTCTTTGGAGAATTCTAAGGAACGACTGCTGGGAGTGGGATGAGCAAAACAGATGTGGGAAACTGTTTCTAGAGCGAGTGCAGGCATTGCTGCTGCAGAGGCTCGGAGAGTCACGCCCAGACAGGGTGATCAAAGGGATAACAAGCTGGTGCGGGGGGGGGGGGGGGGGGGGGGGGGCTCATGCCTGTAATGCCTGAGATAGAGGCCTGCAGTGAGGATTGAGCCAGCCAGAGCAGAAAAGCCCATGTGACGACTATGCTTATTGCAGCATTATTTACCATAGCTAAGATATGGAACCAACCCAGATGCCCCTCAGTAGATGAATGCATCAAGAAAACGTGGTATATATACACAATGGAATTCTATGCCTCCATCAGAAAGAATGACATTGCCCCATTTGTTAGGAAATGGAAAGGCTTGGAAAAAATTACATTAAGTGAAGTAAGCCAGGCCCAAAGAAACATAGGTCCCATGATTTCCCTTATTTGCAATATCTAGTATGTCTGAATCAAGCAGAAAAGGTCAGATAAGGTGATGTTAGGGAAATGAACCTAAGATATGTATTCAAATGTTTTTTTTTTCATGTGACTGTTTCTAACACATTTATAAGATGATTTCTTTGTTGCTTTGTATGTCCCTCCCCCACAGTATAACCCCTGCTTTCACTGTATTTGATGTCGGTATAATTTGTGGAGGGGAAGGGGAAAAACAAATCGTTTAAATAGGGATACAAGTGGACCCATTGCAACAATGAGATGTACAAGTCGTTATGTCGAAAACGAACTTTACAACTTTTGTGCGGTGGGGCGGGGGGAGGGGGGGAGGATGATTGGGTGGGAGGACAGGGAGAGGATGGGAAGGGATGGGAAGGGGAAACAAAGGAGGAGGCTACAATGCTTGTTAAGAAATGTACTCATTATCTTGCCCATGTAATTGTAACTCCTCTGTACAGTATTTTCACAATAATAAATAAATAAAAAGAAAAACAAGAGAAAAAAAAAAAAAAAGCCCGTGTGACTCTTAGCTCAAATTAGCCACCAGGTAAAGCCACCAAATGGAGCCGTGATCCAAATGGTAGAGCATTAACTTCAAGCCAAAAAAAAAAAAGCTCAGGGCCAGCACTCAGGCCCTGAGTTCAAGCCCCAGGACCAGCACAACAATGCATAAATAAATAATTGCTGGACTTTTAGGGCACAATCTTGCCTTTGAATATCACATTGTTTGGCCAAAGCACGGGTCATCATGGTCCCAAACTCTACCACCATGAAGTATAAGTCACAGTCCCTACTCTTAAGAAAACTACCAGCCCAGTGCCCATGCCTCATGCCTGTAATCCTAGGTATGTAATGGGCTGAGATCTGAGGATCTCGGTTCAAGGCCAGCCCATGCAAGTAAGTCTATGAGACTCTTATCTCCAATTACTACCAAAAAAGACAGAAAAAAGACAGAAAAAAAGACAGAAGTGGAGCTTGGTTCAGGGATAGTGCCTAGGCCAGTTCAAGCCCAAGGACTGGTGTGTGCACACGCATGCACACTCAAGGGGAGATATTAGGAAGAACCACTCTAACCCTCCCAGAATCTCTTTGGTCTGGCAATTCATGCATGCTCTCTCTTCCTTAGGTCAGACCTCTCTTCACTGATAACCCAAGAGGAGCCCATCACAAACTAACCTCCCCTCTATACATCCTCAAAACTTGCCTTGCTTTTTGTTTGTCAGTTGTGGGGCCTGAACTCTGGGCCTGGGCGCTGTCCCTCAGCTCTTCAGCTCAAGGCTAGCACCCTACCACTTGAGCCACAGTGCCACTTCTGGCTTTTTTCTGCTTATGTGGTGCTGAGGAATGGAACCCAGAGCCTCATGCATGTGAGGCAAGCGCTCTACCACTGAGCCACCTTCCCAGCCAGCCTTGCTTTCTTTCTAACCCTGCTCCAGACATGAGGGTAAGTTAGCTCCTTTTACAGATGAATACATTGTTTCATGTTCTATGAAAACACTCCTATCAGATGAAGAAGTCAGGATGTTAGGGTGAGTTATTAGAGCGCAGGGCCACACACTCTGCTCTCAGTCTCTGTATCATCGAACACCGCACTTCCCAGCTCCCCTCCCCAATGCTCAGCAAGAGAATTGCTTCATTTCCAAGACTTTTGGAAATGAATGCCAACTGGAGACTACGGAGGCTTGGTTATTGTAAAGGAGCCGTGCGACCGTCCTCACTTAGAACCGGCTCTCTAGCAATGCATAATGCAGGGGACTGAGTCGTTGGGAGAGGAATCAAGCAGAGGAAGTGTGTGCACCAGCCAGTCTGACGCTGGTGGAGGCCAGCAGACCTCCTAGCAGGTTAGGGGTCAAGAGACAGCAGCCTGGACGGAGGGGGGCGGGGAGGGGTTGCGGGCGTAGCTTTGCAGCATTTTTGGAGATTTTAGCATAGAAATAAACCGGGTACACAGTCCGTACTCCATGAAGACACACCTATCACCTGGTTTGGAAAGAGGTGCTCGTCAATCAAAACTAGACGTTATCTGGGGGGCTCAGGCCCAGCGTTTTCTAGTGGGAGCCTGACTGGACCCTCAGAGTCCTGTGGCCATCCCCCTTCTCCCCCACAGCCCAGCGGCCTACCCAGCCTCCATGGTGGTACTGGTTTTTTGTGTTTTTTTCGTTTGTTTTTGGCCAGTCCTGGAGCTTGAACTCAGGGCCTGGGCACTGTCCCTGAGCTTCTTTTTGCTGAAGGCTAGCGCTGTACCACTTGAGCCACAGCACCATGTCCAGCTTTTTGTGTTCGTGTGGTTCGGAGGAATCGAACGCAGGGCTTCATGCATGCTAGGCAAGCGCTCTACCACTAAGCCACACTCCCAGCCTCTTCCACGGTGGTGTTAGGGCAGCTGGGTGGCCGCAGGCCCCCACAGACTCAACCACTCCCCCCCAAGCCCGACCCCCTGTGCACGCTCACCCTGCGCTTTCCTGCAGGGGTTCCTCGTGGGATCCATGGCCCGGACTCCACCGCAGCCGCACGCCCAGGACGCAGACCCCGGGCGCGGCCTAATGAAGTCTGCGGGGCGGACAGGTGTGCGGAGTCCACACCGGCACGAGCATGCGCACTAGTGCGCTCAGGGTCCCCTACCCCCCCCCCACCCGTCCCCCCCCCCAACGCCCAGCCCATCCCAGGCGCAGCTCTGCACAGCACCTGCAGCACCTCCCACGCCAAGGTGGCCGGGGTCTCTCCCTGGGCCAGGTCGACCCCTGGCCTCCTACAGCCCCGCAGGCACCCCATGACTCCACCTGGTTGAGGCCCTGTGGGTGGATCGTGGGTGGAGGCTTCTGGAATCCCCTACCGAGGGATCCTGTCTCCTGGTTAGGTCCAAATCTCAGAGTTAATGAGCCCCCCCCGCCCAGTTCCCCCCCAAAGTCCTTGCACTGACTGGAGGCCCGCACTGCGCAGCTGAAGGTGCATGTCTCCAGGACGGGGTACACAGCAGGAGCAGGGAGCAGGCAGGAGCTAGTGGAGATCTGGTTATTCTGTTTGTTCTCATTTGATAGCCAGCTCACTTTCCGTCTCTGAGGGAGAAGGGAAGTTGTCGTCTTGGGGGAGAGCCAACAGGGGTGGATTTATATGATTCATCCTTCGTGGGATGAGTCTGAGCCTCTTTATAAGGAAAAAAATACAGAATTGTAAACTGATTGCTGGGAGAGGCTGGGGAGAGAGGGCAGGCCGGGCTCCAAACAGGTGCTGGGAGCTGGGGGAGGGAGGGGAGGTCCTGACCCGAGTTCAGGTGTTTTCATTCTAGAACTGAGATACTCTGGACACCCGGTGCTTTTATGCTGTATAATCAGCTACTGGGACATTTACCTGGGCCCTAAATGGTTTTCAGGGGCAACCCCGGAACACGTGGATGATAAGGGGGTATCTCTAGAGTAGGGTGAACATTTGGGCCCTCATTCGTGTTCCTCTGATGATAGACTATCCTCTGGTTTTGGATGGCATGAGACACTTTAGGCCCCGTTTCTCTGAAAGCGTTGGATGCTGTGGCAGCAGGCAGAGAGGGGAGTTAAGTGGGGACCGTATTGTAAGCGGAACACACCAGGTCTCCAGGCTCAACACTAGGGAAACAGTCAGTCGTTACTGTACGCCAGGCCCTATGGTGAAATGACTGCCTGGCCCCCAGAAGTTTCCTGGCAATTGGATGAGTCACATCAAAGCTATGTGGTAGGGGTGAGTTCCAAGTGCCTGTGGAGGGGGTTATTCTGGAACCTCTTCCTGGGCTACCATGGGGGCTTCTTGGAGAGGGTCATCTCTGAGCTATGAACTGTGAAGCTTTCTCCCCTCCCCCCAAGAGGACCCCCTTAATCCCTGGATAAAGACAGAATAAGACCCTTCCAGTCTGGCCTGCCCCGATGTCTCACCTCCCCTCATCTCTGAAATGCAAGCCCCAGAGACTTCTATCTCCATTGAGCTACTGTTTCCCCAGGAGTCTTCTTTAAAGCCCCCAGAATCAAGATTTCATAGAGAACTTGTTGAAAATGATCCTTTCAGTCCCCATCCCTGACCCCTCACTCCTGCCAACTCCCAAAGTCTTAGTGAGTCCATGGAAAAACACCGAAATATCTATATATATATAAAAAAACCCACCTCAGGTGATTTGTATACATCAGAGCTTGAGACTCAGACTTTTCAAAAACAAAGTCAATTAAGAACTATCCTAAGGATGGGAGGGGGGGCGGAGGAGAGGGCTGTGGGTCTTGGGGAGTGACCTTTGCACCTTTACTGAGATGCTCACTGTAGTAGACACCACTGCCACCCCTCCTCCGGAGCCGTTTCTCCCAACATCCTTTTCTTTGGGGGATATGAGTGTGACACAGCCAGAACGCAAGTGTCTGAGCTCCTAGAAAATGGCCCTGGCTTCCTGTTCATGTAGAGCTAGCCATAAAACGGAGGCAGGCAAGGGAAATAAGCCTTCCTGGTCCTTGCTCCTTCTCCCTCCATAACAGGAGACAGAAGAAGAAGACTATGCCTGACAGATCCTTTTTGCAAAGCAGAAGCACCAGGTAATGTGTCCTTGTGTTTGCCACACACCCCAATGCCAGCAGCAGCAGGTCATTTGGAAGACCTGGGCAGGACATCACAGGCCCTGGCCTGGGAGGAGGCTAAGGCTGTCACGATGCGGCCCAGAAGAGAAGCAACGGGACGGAAGGGGAAAGGCTGGGGCATGTTTAGGGTCTGAAGAAGACAAATCGTCAGGTGACTGGATATGCACTGTGGGCCCGTACAGAAAAGCTAATGGTAGAGACACGTCAGGCCCCACCTGTTTCCACTAGGGGGTTGGGGTTCCCTTTGGGACCCCTGGGAAAGGATGCTCTGGGGTTGCTGTGAGGGGAAGTAAGGACACCTGGCTGGATAGGAGCTGCGTGGGCAGGGCATAGGCAGGTCCTGGCGGAATCAGCCAAATAGCATTTTCAGTGTGTGTTGGTGCTGGAGCTTGAACTCAGAGCCTGGCACTCTTTCTTGACCTTTTAGCTCAAGGATGAGCCACACCTCCACTTCAGGTTTTTGGTGGCTAACTGGAGATCAGAGGGTTTTATGGACTTTCTTGCATGGATTGGCTTGGACACACAATACCCAGGTCTCATCCTCCTGAGTAGCTGAGATTATAGGCGTGAGCTACTAGCACTCGACAGTATCTTCGAATGACCTTGCTCCAAGCAGTCAGGCTTTGGTGGTGCTAAGGACAATGGTGACTATGCATGACGTGTTGCTATAGCTACTGTTTATAACGAACCTCCACCACTGTGTTGCGTGACTTAAGAATGCTTTCAGATCTGTCTTTTACTAACCCTAAGAGGCCTGCTTCAGAGGCCCTTTATCCTTTCTAGTCTCTTCTGGCCTGCGTCAGCACTCCAAGCTGCATTGCTCACTACAGAATGACATCAACTTCCACCCAAAACCTGGCCCTGTCTTCACTGTGGCTTCCCACAGTCCTCCGGTCTCCTCACCACCTTTGCCTCATGGTGTAGTCTTCCCTCGGAATGGCTTGTGTTTGCTCATGCCTTCAGGCCACAGAGAGAGTCAACATCCTAGACTATCTTCCTTTCCCTTCTATTTTGGTCAGTCTTACCCGTACTTCACGCCCACCCCCCTACTCTTTTGTCTGTGCAGCCCATCTCAGTTAAAGTAGGTAAAATTGTGGATTTTTTCTCCCTTTCCTATTCCCCTCTCTGTGCTGTGTTATTTATGTTCCATCGCCTCAATCAGACCCATCTGATTCCTTTCACATGTTCAGTACTTAGAAGCTACTTTTTCCAAAAACCATTGCCTCCTTCTTTAGGTTCACGAATTAACTAAAAGCTGAAGAGAGGCATAGCTCCCCTGCCTTCATTTTCTTTTTTTCCTTTTTGTTTTGGTTGGTTGTGGGGTCTGAACTCTGGGCCTGGGCGCTGTCCCTCAGCTCTTCAGTTCAAGGCTAGCACCCTACCACTTGAGCCACAGTGCCACTTCTGGCTTTTTCTGCTTGAGTGGTGCTGAGGAATGGAACCCAGGGCCTCACGCATGCAAGGCAAGCGCTCTACCCCTGAGCCAGCTTGCCTGCTTTACACTGGGTTTCCTTCTCCAGTGTGATCAATTGCCTTGGGTTCCAGGAAGAATAGGACGAAGCAGGCCAGATATTGCCCTCAATGAAGATGGTCACACGCTGAATGTCACTGTCACTGCATCCTGAAGCATAGGCAACCATCTCAGCGGAGCGTTGCTCCCTCAGGTGACAGCAGCAATAGTAACATCTCCAGACCCTCCCCCTCTTTGCAAAACCAGTACTGAGATAATGATCAACCGGGCCACACACTGTGTGGGACTATGTAATCATGCATATTTCTCACCCCTGTCCTAGTTCTATTCCTGTTTAAACCCAAAGTACCAGTGGGGTGCTGGTGGCTCACACCTATAACCCAAGCCATTCAGGAGGCTGAGATCTGAGGATCATGGTTCAAAGCCAGCCTGGGCACAAAAGTCCATGAGACTCTTATCTCCAATTACACCAGAAAACCTGAAGTGGAGCTGTGGCTCAAATGGTAGAGCACTAGCCTTGAGCAGAAAAGCTCAAAGATAGTACTCAGGCCCTGAGTTCAAGCCCCATGACTGACAACAAACAAATAAACAAAAAAACAATGAGGCAAATACAGAGTAATTAGAAATAGTAGGAAATGTTCTCTTCAAATAACTATGTTGGTTATTAGCCATTTGGAGCAGCTCTTTGTTTTATTTTCACATCTTCTACATGATTCCTACACTCCGTGTATAATTTTGAGCCCTCCTTCCTCCAAAAAGGTACTCTAAAAATCATAGTGTTAGCTTATTTCAGTCTCCACAACTTATCATGTGACAGCATTCTAACTATTCTCCAGATGCTGGGAGAAAACCCCCTTTTAATTTAACGTATACATTTTTAAATATTAAAAGGCAAATTTACCATAAGGCTTCCACATTCTTTCTTTCTCTTCTAGGCTTTTTCCTCCTGCCTGCTCTTGGACCGGGGAGCCCTGTTATTTTGTGTGTGAAGCCCGCAAGGGGTTGCTCATTCCACAGGATGTCTGCTAGGCTGACCAGAGCACACCAGGAAGGTATGATCTGGAAAGGTCAAACTTGGCAACTAGCAGCTCAGCAGGCCAGCAGGCCAGCTTTGGGGGAGCAAGCGGTGCCCCCAGAAAGTCTTTGCTCCTCCTTTGGCATGATGGCACGGTGGCGCTTCTGTGGGTGGTTTGATGGACTTTCCAGAATGATCCATATGTTAGGGTCATTGGAACCAAACAGGATGCACTTTGGACAAGAGATCTCTGTCTTTTCTCCCACACACAGTCCTGGCGGCTCTGCTGAGCTGTAGAGCATGGGTTCACCTCCTGAGCTCCACAGTTCTCTTGGGTTCCTGCATTTCTGGTTCGCTCCAGGTCTTGTGAGGAGCATGGGAAAGGTAGGCCCATGGCGAGGTCAGATGACTCCTGTGAGTGACAAACTTCTAGAGCTGCTTCCATCACGGTAACCACTCCCAGCTGGAAACAACCTATCCTTCTCTGTAAATGGCTTTTCTCCATGGCAACGAAGGGTGAGATCCCCAGCAGGACTTCTTCCCTGCGCGAGAGGAGGAGGAAGGGATGTCGAAATAGGATGCTTGGGTTTAGTAAGGCAGAGAAATTAAACAATAGCAGGCTAGACTGATTACTGGAACATAATTCAGCCTGTTCAACCTGTCGTTCAGTTGGACAGAAGGCAGCAAGAGAACTGGATAGACTGCCAGACCCAGTCTTCATTTTGCAAAAGACCTGCAGTTGTCTACTTCTGGAGCTGAGCTGGTGTGGACGCATGTAAGGGAGGGCGGGCCTTTGCCTAGGTGACCCCGAGTTAGGTCAGGCGGCCTGGGGGCAGAGCAGGCAGAGCCCAGAGGGCCCAGCGCCGCATGGAGAGACAGACAGACTGGACCCCACCGGGTGCATGTGTTTGGTTAGGATGTCTCATTTCTGATCTGAACTCAAACATTGCTTCTGTGTTAACTGCGGCTCATAGGTCTCTCACACTTTTTCCAACCCCTCATCTCACTCCCACCCACCTAGCCCAAACCCCCCGATTTCTGTCAGAATATTCCTATTCCCTCTCTCGACCCCCACAGGAACATCAGCTCTCTCCATGTTCTTGCAAGGAGTGTTTTGCTTTGGTCCCACTACCTGGACCATGCCTCCAGTTCTGACTTTTTGCTGGTTAATTGTAGCTAAGGGTCTGGGATTTGTCCATCTGGGCTCGCTTTAGACATCGCCCTCTCCTCACCCCGCCTCGCAGACCTTAGTTTACTGAGGAGCTGGCATGATAGTACTGAGCCACCAGTCTGTCATGGGAATAATGCTTTCGTTATTTTTGAGATTAAAGTCTCTCATTTGTGCCTGGGCTGATCTCAGAACCTGATCCATATACCAATTCCTACAGAGCTGGGATATCAGGTGCGCTACCACCCACACGCCACACACACACCACACACACACCCACATCCCACCACACACCACCCACACGCCACACACACACCACACACACATCCCACCACACACACACACCACACACACACGCACATCCCACCACACACCACACACACACCACATACACACACACATACCCCACCACACACACCCCACCACACCCCCCACACCCCCCTACACACCACACACACACATCCCACCATACACCACACACACACCACACACACACACACACACACACACACACACACATACACACATACCCCACCATACACACCCCCCCCACACACACCACACACCACACACACACCACACACCACACACACACCACACATACACACACCACCACACACCACACACACACACCACACACACACAACCACACACACACCACATACACCCAACCACACACCACACACACCACACACACACCACACACACACCACACACACACCACACATACACACAAACCACCACACACCACACACACACACCACACCCCCCCCACCACACACACACCACACACACACCACACACACCACACATACACACCTAACCACACACCATACACACACACACCACCACATACCACACACACACCACACACACACACACACATACCCACCCCACCACACACCACACACACACACACCACACACACCACACACCACACACACACCACACATACACACAAACCACCACACACCACACACACACCACACACACACATCCCACCACACACCACCCACACGCCACACACACACACACACATACCCCACCACACACACCCCACCACACCCCCCACACCCCCCTACACACCACACACACACACACATCCCACCATACACCACACACACACCACACACACACCACACACACACCACACACACACCACACATACACACACCACACACACACACCACACATACACACACCACACACACACACCACACACACCCAACCACACACCACACACACACCACATACACCCAACCACACACCACACACACACCACACACACACCACACACACACCACACATACACACACCACCACACACCACACACACACACCACACACACCCCCCCCACACCACACACACACCACACACACACACCCCCACACCACACACACACCACACACACACCACACATACACACCTAACCACACACCATACACACACACACCACCACATACCACACACACACCACACACACACACACACACATACCCACCCCACCACACACCACACACACACATACCACACACACCACACACCACACACACACCACACACCACATATACACACACCCCACCACACACCACACATACACACCACACATACATACACCCACCACACACACCCTACCACACACCACACACATCCCACCACACACCACACATACACACACCCCACCACACACACACCACACACACCACACATACACACACCCCACCACACACCACATACACTACACACACATTACACACACACCCCACACACCACACACACACCATACACATACTCACACACACCACACACACCCCCACCACACATCACACACACACACACACACACACACACACACACACACACACCCCATCACACACACCACACACATTACACACACATACCACACACATCATAAACATACCATAACACACACTCAAGAGTCTTAAAATGTACATTAAGCCCCACAGGCCACACTTTGGTAGGACACACTTTCTCTAGCCCTACCTGACTTGTCCCAGCCTAAGCGCTCCTCCCCCCATTTCCACAGCTCCTCTCTCAAGGTTATTCTGGTCCCCGGGTCTCACCCTCCTCAGGGCTTAGTTTCAAGGTTACCCTCAGCGCCGACTCTTGTGGCTGTGTTATCTTTTTAACACCTGCCTCCTCAATTTTCATCATTTCTATTACTGAAAAATGTAACTTTTTAAATTCATTTTATATCTTGTCTCTTCTGTGGCATTTCAGTTTTATGGAGACAAGAGGTGAACAGGTTTGTTTCACTATGCATGCTACCTCGATGGCCTACTAGCTGGATTATAAATGCCGTCTACTTGTCGAACTAATAAACGAACTAAGAATTCAGGCCTTTCGATGGAGAGAAAGAATAACAAGATTCATGGAACACGTTGCTGTTTCTGGTGATTCACTGTCTGCTTCTAACAGGCATTTGATAAGGCTTTTAAGCTTGGTTGCTTCCCGAAACTATTCATCAGGAATTTTGACAAGAATCCAGGAACTAGAGATAAAGTGTGAAATTATTGTGTTTGCTGTAGAGAATAAAAGGACATTGCTTTGGAATCACTCTTTGGTTAAATTCTTAGTCACCAGCGGCTGTGAATTTTAGAGCTTAGGGGGCTGGAAAGGTGGCCCAGTGGTAGAGCGCTTGCCTTGCATGCATGAGGCCCTGGGTTCGATTCCTCAGCACCACATAAGCAAAAAGAAAAAAGCCGGAAGTGGCGCTGTGGCTCAAGTGGTAGAGTGCTAGCCTTGAGCTGAAGAGCTGAGGGACACCCCCAGGCCCAGAGTTCAGGCCCCATGATCGGACCCCCCCCCTCAAATAAAAAATTTAGAGCTAGGATCACAGCCCATTTTCTGGCACCATCTTCAGTGATGTTGTCAGACAATTTCATAGTTATGGTGGCATTCTTGTAGACAATTAGTAGTTTATTTGGCTTCTTTTACTTACCTGATAACCCCTTTTCATTAGGGT